TTTTACATAACTTACAGCTTATGGTTCTGATCCCATCCGTGTGTGTTGAAATGCTTAAAATAAATATATTTATTTAAATAAATTACATTATTCTATATCCATGAAAGTGTTTTTTTTATTTATACGATTTAGCAAAATATAACTGCGGAAAACTTGCCTAGCATAAGAAAAGATAAATTTTTTTAATATAACTTCAAAATACTCGTATATACAATCAAATTAATGTTTTTAACAAGATTATTCTACAAATGACCGAATGATAAAGCTAGTAAATTTACCAGATCCATTTTCATTGAAGAAGCAGCTGTCGAAAGTAAATATTTTGTGATTTCAAAATTTGTCAAAGTTCTCATGAACATCCTCTGGTGGAATTTGTTCCTGGATTTTGATACGCTAAAAATTGTTTCTTAAATAACAACAAAATTATATCGTATTGTTTTTATGGAAATTGAAACGTTAACAAATTTTATTTATAACTGAAATATTTATACACCTGAATTGATTTTTAAACCCACTCATTTTTAATTTGCTCTGCCTAGGATTGGCACATGCCATTTTGTGATGTGAGACGAATTGCTCAGTCGGCGAGCAGAGTTAAAGGAAAATAAAGACAATCATGTCATTAATTGTAGCGGATAATGGTTATAAATAATTTGCTGGTGCATTTTCTTGGAAGGTGTAAATAAGCGCAATTTTGGGGAGGGATCTCAATGTAAATCGGAGTTGGATATCATATTATAATTATGCCTCATGGGTAAAAAAAAAATCATAATAGACACAAAGACGTGTCTGTATAAAACATGTGTAAAAACAGTAAAAAATTCAATCATCAATGGTACACTAGTTTATATTAATAAACTAAAAATATGGATGAATGGGCTAATGAATCCATTTAAAATTAGACTTCTGTTGAAGAACTTGTTATATATTACAAGTTCATTTATCGCAATCACATGCATAAATTATAGATTTGAAAACGTAATCAACATAATTGGATACAGAATCTAAAATGATTAACTGAAAAAAAAAAAGATCTTCTAAAATGCACACATAACTTTATGGTTGAACCGTAATTCAGTATAAGAATATAAGCTTAGGGCCACCGGTTTCTGAAAGGTACGATCTGAATTTCAGCTCATATTCCCTCTGTTTGTCAGGCATTCTTATGTGGCGAAACATATCGCTGACTACACCAAACATACCTGGAAATTCCTCACAGTGTCTTTCTATATCGTCCATATGATCAATCAAAGGATATATGTACTTTTCAAAACGTGCTGTATGGTACAAATGCACGTAGCACCGGTTAAGATTTATCTTCAATTCACGGGTTTGTGAAAAGACATCTTCTTTCAAATTCTGATCTTCAATGGTGCTCATATCTAAAGTATTTTGTTCAATGACATGTTTGAAACAACATATGGCTGTTTCTATCGCAGAAAAACTAAGCGTTGCGTTCCTTTTGTCTAATTCTGCTATACTATATCTGTACAAAAACTTTGCTATTGAAGTTAAATCCGACGATCGGGTTTCTGGTACAATTAACCAACCGATTGTTTCATCTACCTCCCATGGCAAAAGGTTCTTCAGTTGGAAAGCATTTTCTTGTGTGTAATTTGATGACAGATTTAGTCCGTAGTCTCTGTCAAAATCTTTTGCAAGAATGATTCGAGATGACCGTTGGTCAATTTTGTCAATTACATCCTGTATGAAATCTTGAAAGTCCGGAGTATTTCTTTCTGAATCTGGGAGTAGTAGTAGCTGTTCATACATATTTTCCAGTAGCTGAGATACTGCGTCATAGAAGCCCATTCTTGAGAGAACCTTTGCTGTGCGTATTGTTGTTGGAATTAATGTTTTTTCGACCGTAGCCCTTAAATCTTTTGTTTGCATAAAAGACGGAACGTCTGACAGAATCAGATCTATCAAGTTTTTTCCATACATAAATCCATGCATTTCGGCAACAAACTGGATGATACTTACTGGAAACAGACGAATGGATTCAACACACAAAGAAAGAGCATTGATGTCAGCTTCTGATAAGCAATCAATAAGGTTATTGCTTGGTATAAAGTAGTGCGACAAAAAACCTGTTTTTAAGCAAGTCAACAATTTGCTGATGACATGCAGTATACAACCGCTGAAGCAGGTGTCCCAAGCACTAGAGGGCTTTTCCTCAGCTGCGTTCAAAAACACTGCTTTTAAGTGCTTTCGTTTCAGAGTCTTGTCAAGGTGGGATGTCATGTTTTCGAGCAACACTTTTATCACAAAATATCCATATTGTTGTGCCTTTGTTAGATTTGTAATCATCGTGAACTCTGCCAAAGAAAAGTCGAATTTCCATTCAATGGTTGGATGTTCGCTTCTTGGGTGGGTTTTTGGAATTAACGTAACCCTTTTTCCTCTTGCGCGGTCAATGAGGACAGCCGAGGGAAAATCATAGTTTCTTTTCTTTTCCCTCCATTGAGAAGTCATTGGAGGGAATTGGCATTGAAAACCAATATACTGCACTTCATATTTACGAAAATGCGGAACAGTCTTAATCCTCTCGGGAACCTCGTATGCTTTTAGATAAACATTTGAACCAATCTGCAAAATATTGTCATCTCTGCAATATATCTGAAGTTTAATTCTACAATAACCAGGGTGAGAACCTGAAGTATCAACATATAAACGTGATATCGAATTTTCTTTTTCAGGGGAAACTGCAAACAGCACACTTTTGTCCTTTCTAATAATAACAATTCTTGGCTTCTTCACTCGCCGTTCATCATAAAATTTACTCATTTTCTGTGAACGACTTATGTCTTTCAACGTAAAATAGCATGGGTCACATAAGGGTCCTATAAAGTGGTAGTACAGAATTTCTTGATGTTCCCATATATAACATAGATGACCCTGTGGTATAACGTTAATTATTTTGAGTGTTTGAGACATGAGAATTTTCATTATGAAGGATAAATGTATTATTGGTATTCCTGTCAGCGAATCTATCTGCATTCCATCTTCTGTTAGGTGTTGAAACGATTCTAAATTTAAAATATTCAATTTTAATAAACGGGAAAAGTCCATTTTACTACATGTTCCATGTTATAAGAAACACCAAAAATGCAGTTAAAGGCTTTCTTTAAGTATGGTAAACAAGAGGCCCATGGACCACATCGCTCACCTGAGTAGCTTTGACCATACTGTTCATAACCAGTTTCCCCCCTTGTCATACCTACTGTGACCCCACCCTATCTCACTGGTCATAATTTGGACAATTTAAAATCTACACTACCCTCAGGATGCTTTCGCATAATTTTCAGCTTTTCTGGCCCAGTAGTTCCTGAGAAGAAGATTTTTAAAGATTTTTCTTATATAGTTCAGTGTAAATTTGGGTTTCCTATTCTACCCCGCCCTACACCTGGGAGTCAGATTTGAATAATTTAAGATCTACACTTCCCAAGAATGCTTTTACATAAGTTTCAGCTTTTATTGTCCTAGTGGTTCTTGAGAAGACTATTTTTTATAGACCCCACCCTATTGTTGTCTTTTATTGATTGTCTCCCATTGTGAGGGGACTTGGTCCTTAATTTAACAATTTAATTTCCCCTTCATCCAAGGATGGTGTCACAAAACGTCCAAACATTGTTCCATATATTTTAACATGCACATTTTCGTTATGTAAATAACTTATCTAAATGCCATAACTGTGTTCCGTAGTATTTTATCTGTTCAGTAGAATTTACTTGGCGGGTTTAAATCCCGTGCTGTTATGTGGTCAGTTTGGGTGTAGCAATTGAGTAGAGCAGACGCACTTCACTTGCTCGAGTATTCACAACTTAGTAGTATTCTTCATATTAGTATATTGACCAGACTTTACATCTCTTCTGAGGTAAGTTTGTTTTATTAATTTTAAGGTTTTTATCTTATACAGTTTCCTGAAATGGCCAAGGACCTAGTTCTAAACTTTGTTGTAAATTACATGAGTGAGTAATGTGTGTATTGCTATCATTTCAAGTACTAGTAGTATCCTAAAAGTATACGAGTATATTATAGTCTTATTATAGTATGTAGTAGCTACAATGTATGGTGTAAAGTACGTGTTCATTGTACACAAATATTTCATATAAATATTTTGAGCAGTAAAATGCTTTAGTATGTGTAGTAAACTGCAGTATGCAGCAAAATGCTTAGTATTTGCAGTAAAATGCAGTATGCAGTAAAATGCAAAGTATACAGTAGATGTTATGATATGCATGAGCACGAATCAAGTTAGTATATTTTATGTACATTTATTATAATATGTGAATTTACAATGATTTTGTAGATCCCTAATTGGTCCAGGAAGCCATTCCACCCGAACAACATTCCAATCCAGAACTTTTAATAATATATTAAACCGAATTAATGTGATATATTTGAATAACTTAGTCGTTGTATTCCTTTTTGTGTGGCGACATATCGGCCCGCCTGCGACAGATGGTATGTACCAAGCTTGATACAAAATTAGCCAAGTGGTTCTTGAGAAGTCCAAAATGTGAAAAGTTTACACGCGGAAGGACAGAAGGACGGACGACGGACAAAATGTGATAAGAAAAGCTCACTTGAGCTTTCGGCTCAGGTGAGCTAAAAAGATTTAAATATAAGATAGAAATCATTTTTAATCATTGTTAAAGTCACGTCTCAAGTATTTTGTATGTAAGCCTAGACGTTTCTGGAAATCAGATATTAAAATGTGAAATTATATTTCAAAGAGTAGATCTTGTGTCAGAGATAAGGTCACAACGCCAATGAACTTGATAACCTTAATCGAGGACTTCAGATGCCAAGTATCATACAGACTGAATGAATACTGACATAAAATATATTGCAAAGAAGACGGATATCAAATTCAAAATCTTGGGGATTTTTTTAATGAATGTGCAACGCATCAAATACTTGCTTTTTTTGGTTCATCATGTTGGTTGTATAAGATGGACAAATTGAAAGTGAACTGAAAAAGTTATCTTTGAAATTCATTGTACTTCGCCAATTACAGAATATTTAATACTTCTCTCAACATAAAAGTTACCTTCAGTTTCTCCAGACTGAAGACCCATTTGGATATATGGTCTGAAGACACGTGTCCGTTCCCTGTTATTGGTATATTTCACTTCCATACCGTCGTCTTCGTCCTCGTCCTCATCGATCTTGTGCAGAGCAAAGTTGGCAACTTCCTGTAATGTTGTCTCTGGTATGAATCTTTCGTCAACCATTCTTTTCACCTGTTGTGCTATAAAATGTCTTTTCGTATCAGAGTCAATGTCCTTTGAACAGGCTAGGATCCTTAGTATTAGAACCTCTGAAAATTGTAAGTGTTAAACCTTTAGAGTACATCATTCGATCGTAAGAAGCAATAAATTGAATACTATAAAAAATTGCATTACTCACTGTAAGGCCAGTGTCTTAACCATAGTTTTGGACGCAAACTTAAATAATGGAACTCGCCAAGATGACCAAGAAATATTGTCAAGCGATTTTGATGATTCTTGCACATTTTGCCTTTCACTTCAGTCCGACATATGTCATCACGATAGACGTTGAAGACGATGACTTCGAGGGAGAACAAATCAGCGACAGCCTGTAAAATGATATGATCGCTCCATTCACCAGACCTCGACATTCTTGTCAGATATTCCTCCCATGTTTCCTCTGATAAAAAGGAAGATAGGTGACCTTTGTCTTGATGGAAGGGATTTTGTCTTAGATACCTATGGATGTAAAATTTTTCTGTTGAATATCGAAATTATGCACGTCCATAGCAGCACAGCAGAGCATGCATCACTGAATGGGTACGTTTCTTTTGTTAAACTTTATTATATAAACTGAATGTGTTTGGTTAAGCGTGCTATCTGACATTCATCCTGCAATATTAATTTCAATTTTTTTACTATAAACTTACTTTATTGTTGTGTGTCTAAGAGACTCTATCGAATGCCCCAGACAGCCATTGATAAGCAATTGATCAACAATAGCCCGAAACATACAGTTCCCATCGGAAATGACGTCATGTACATCAAAATTGTTGTCATTTGCAAATTTTCGTAAAGACCTTTGAAAGACTGGCATATTCATGTACTGTTCTACTCCCTGGCCTAAATAAAAAGGAAAAAAATTATATCCAATAAGTCAAAAAAATTTCTTGTATGTAAGCAAATTCATTTCTGAGTTGGTTGGTTGTGTAAGTTGAATATTTTTTGATCATGTGATTTGAGCTAGACTTTAATTAAAGTATTATCTTACTATATCTTCCTATATTTCTTGAGCCTAAAGATGGAGAACCGTATCCATTTTCAAATGCATCGAAATAGAAATCGTCCTCCCTTGTCGAGGTATGATTTTCCCAGTATTCGTCCTCGCTGTCGAAGTAATCAATTTTGTCGATGTCTTCTCTTTTTTGTTCATCTGGAATGGCAATTGACGCTTTTGAAAGTCTTTCCACATTTAATAACGTTTCCTTTAAACAGTTCTCAAAAACTACATCTTCGTTACCATCACACTCAGGCTGGTCTTCATTTCTCCATAACCCGCGAATAGGATGTTTCAGTGTTTCTTTCTCAATACATTGTGTAACATTCTGGGAAGACATTATGATGATTACGCTTTTTCTGTTAACCTTCCATGTAGGACTTTATATATCCTTTGTAGTACATTCTTTTGAAATTATTAATACATGTACAATCTATGGCAAACAAATTTACTAATAAATTGTAAGTAATGAAAATAATAAAGTGTTATTTAATAAGGACGGAAAATGATCATAATATGGCTTTCATCCAGGAAAAATAAAAGTTCATGATATAAATAATATTTAATAGTTATCAACGGAAGTGGCATTTGATTTTTCATCGAAGAAAAAATCCATTCAAAACGTCTTAAGTACATGTAGATGATCAAAGAATTATTTAGGGAATCAAAGTCTAGTTTGTTGGGTATTCCGGGACATCAATGATAGTTGAATAGATGGGATCATTTGCAAAACGCGAGAACCTTATACTTACATCTAATTGTGAAATAAAATTACATGTATATATATTTAGGTTTAAAAACATGTCTAATAGATTTTTTTTTACACAAGGTCTTCCATGTCAATTTCAATAGTTCCTGCCCACTGATGTCAAACACAAATAAAACCGCAAGAGAATGACTTTAAAAGAATGCTTTTTAGGCCTATGCTCGGCACTCAGGGCTATTGCCGAAAAAAAAGCAGGGTCATGTTATTTTTTTCAATCGTGCCACATATTTAACAAAGGTTTAAAAACATTGTTAAAGATAGATGTTTTTTTTATAAACGTATATGTCTTGTTCATATGTGGAACAATTTCAAAAATAGTTCCTGCTTCCATTGTCTTTTATGACTAATCAAGCAATTCTTTATAAGAAATACAACCGCAAGAGAATGACTTTAAAAGAATGCTTTCTTTGGTTGTTAGTACGGGAATTAATGTCGCCGCTATTGCATAAAAAAAATACTCAGGTCATGTTATTTTTTTCACAATCCCTGCGACGTTAATTCCCGCACTAACAAACACATAAAGACTTTGTTAAAGATATGTATGTTAAATATTGTATTATAAACGTATATGTACTATTTTTTTATGCTGATTAACGCACTTGGTTTCCTTAAGAAATAAAGGAAAAAATTTCGGTGGATGTACATATATGTATATTAGGCTTCCTTACTACTTTTGCTTGACGAAATTTACATTGCAGTTGAATTATCAAGAAATCAATTCACTTAATTTTTAAAAAAGTTATCAACAGAAAAACAAATACACGTAGAAATAAAAAAAAAAATGCGTGGTGACAAAACTGCTACATTCAGCACAGGTGTTCATGCATATGATCGTAAAAATTATTTACTGGCGGGTTACTTTTCTTCTCCTGATGTACAATGTTTAATAAAATAATTATATGAATTCGTTCTATTGCTTTGAATATCAAAATCATCATAAAATTAAAGGTTTACATTAAAGGAAAGTTGCCTTATTTCTGATATATACAGAGTAATAATAAAATCTCGTTCGATTATATTGAAATGATTTATGTTTTTATCAGTCCCTCCTATATATCAGTCATTCTAGAGGCACTACCTCCATCTTTATGCAAATATTCATGACTGCATTTTTTTCAAAATACTATTTTCCTAAATGCCTGATTCTTATTGTTTTCAACAAACTGTAGCTTACATTGTACTTAATTTACCATGAAAAATATTTTAAAATTAAAGTTATTAAAAACAAATTTGGCATACAAACATGGTTTTTATTTAACAATTATGGAATTATATTTTAGGTGCTTAATCTGTGGTTAAAATGTTTAATAAAGGTCAGATAAAATATTGAAACATATATTATTTTAGGGATATATGCACGATAAGTTGTTTTTATAATTTCGAACACAGATATCGAAGTCATTGAATGAAATTCTTGATAACTGGTGATAAGACAAAAAAGACCCTAGTAACATTAGATTGGTTGATTGATTGATTGTATACTGTTTAACGTCCCTCTCCAGAATATTTCACAGTGAAGGGCTGCATGTAATAAGTGATCTTTAGGCATGGAGTTGTTTTGAATTCATTTTTTTTTCTCAACGAGTTATTGAAGTATATAACTGCTTAACACATACAATACATTTCATAAATATTTTAATCCTATTCATTAACATCGTGCTTTATCGATAAAAATAATTTCAAATTTCCTTCTTTCTTTCTGAGAAATATACGTGCTATATCTGATGTAACCAATGAGTAAATTGAAAAAAAATTACTTCCCAAAAAGACAAGGAAGAGGTTTCTTTGATATCAAAATAATCATATTTTAAATCAGTTTTTTACTAGATGCAAATCAAGTGATAGATGAGGTAATAAACAGTACACAGTAAAGAAAAATAATCTAGTTTATTGCTTTCTTCTACCTGCAGCAATACATTGGATGACTGAGAGTTCAAAACTTTTTCTCTTACAAATATTTCACTTACATTTGGTTTTTATATACAAATGTATAAGGTTTTAATATGAAAAAAAAAGCAATACAATTTGAGATCAAAACTATTTCTTTTAGAAAATATATAATTGTTTTTATATTGCTAAGGTTTTAATATAAAAAAATTCGATGTGATCATCAGAAAATTATATAGTTATGGCAATTGCTCTGGAATCCATTTTACTTTTTTTCCCTAATTTTTCAAATAATAGTGTATGTTTTATATTTTTAAAATGGATAAAATCTAAAACCTGCTCTTGTCCATTTAGTTTGGTCTGCTATTATTGCATGTGAAATTGGTATTTTTATAGACATACATGTACACATTTTATTAAAAGTTTCCTTAAGCTTAGCTAAATATAATCGATACGGACCATTTTTGAGAATTGTTTTGAAACGAAGTGTGCCATTACATAATGTTATATCCGGGAGATATAGAATGCCTCACTTTAGCATTGTTGTCAGAGATGGAAACTGTTGACACAGAACGGATCTACAAAACAAATTTTCTTGGGAAATCTGAGTAAATAAGCCATCAATCAGAGGAAGATTGTACAGGAGATGATTCTAAAAAAAATTGTACAACACGAATTTAATCAGTCTGGAAAAAATGCATTCCTTTCAAAAGGAAATTCAGTATGAATCACAAACGATGATTTTCATAGAAGATTGATTGCATAGACGTTGCCAACATTACAATAATCAATGCCAATAAATTGATTAAAAAAATACTGGGGCCAAGCTCATCATATTCAACTGAAAATACAATAATTTGAGTGCATCAACAGTGCACATACCTTTTTTGCGACATACTGATCATATTCAGCTGAAAATACAACATCACCAGGATCAGACAAAAAAACTAACCATCTTCTTATTGTGTACTACTGGGAAGTAAACTTCAATCGCTACTTGGCTTCTATCACAGCCAAAATTTAGTACATGCCACATTCTGAAGTTTTATGAGTGAGTGACTCAAATCAGTTTTTTAATCCACTTTATAGCATAAACAAAACCAGGATCATTAGCAACTGGTACAACTTACATTATGTACTCTCTATTTAGAATGTGACTTGAGTGCATCAACAATGCCCACTTTCCTCTTTGGCCATGCCCATCATATTCAACTGAAAAATACAAAAAAAAATCATTGATTGATTGCTCGTATGTTTTTTCTTCCCTCTCGAGAAATTTTCACTCAAATTGAAACACCATACAAAACTAAAAACAGACAAGAAAATAAATCTACTGTCTTAAATCTGTGTACTGCTTGTAAGTTCATTTTGATTGCTGTTGTTTATTTGTTTCTATCACAGCACAGCCAAGATTTAGTACAAGTCACATTCTGAAATTTTATGTGTGAGCTCAAAACAGTTTTTAATCCCTGGGTTTGTTTATAGCATAAACAAAACCAGGGACATTACCTACTGGTACCACTTTCACTACCTAATCAGAATGTGACTTGTGTGAATTAAAAATGTCCAATTCTCTTTATCCTTACGCCAATCATAATCAACTGAAGAATACAAATTTGATTGATTGATTTGATATGTGTTGTTTAACGTCCCTATCGCGAATTTTTCACTCATATGGAAACCCAATAAAGAATTAAAAACAAACAAGAAAATAAACTTACACTAACATTACCCATTCAGAATGTAGCTTGAAAGCATCAACAATGTCCACTTCTCTCTTTTGGCCATGCCTCTCATATTCAACTGAAAAATATATATACTTGATTGATTTATTGTATGTTGTTACGTCCCTCTCGAGAATTTTCACTCAAATGGAGACACCATACAAAATTGATAACAGACAATAAAATAAACTTACTGTCTTAAATCTGTGTACTGCTTGCAAGTACATTTTGATTACTATTGTTTCTTGGTTTCTATCCATGCCAAGAATTTGTACAAGTTACATTAAAGCAATTGGTACTATCTATACTACGTATTCAGACTGTGACTTGAGTACATCAACAACTCACTTCTCTCTTTGGCCGTGCCCATCATATTCAGCTGAAAAATACAAAATTGATCGATTGTTTTCTTCTATGTTGTTGCCGTCCCTCTTGAGAAGTTTTCACTCATTTGGAGACCCACTTAAGAATTAAAAACAGAAAAGAAAATAAACTTACTGTTATAAATCTGTGTTCTGCTGAGAATGACACTTCTATCACTGTTGTTTTTTGACTTCTATCACAGCAAAGATTTAGTATAAGTCACATTCTGAAGTTTTATGAGGGAATGGCTCAAAAAAGTTTTGTAATCCACTGCTGGTATCACTTTCACTACCTATTCAGAATGTGACTTTGGTGCATCAACAATATCCACTTCTCTCTTTGGCCGTGCCCATCATATTCAACTGAAGAATACAAAATTGATTGATTGATTTTTTTATGTGCTATTTAACGTCCCCCTCGGGAATTTTTCACTCAAATGGAGACCCACTAATGAATTAAAAACAGACAAGAAAATAAACTTACTGTTGTAAATCTGTGTGCTGCCGATAATTACACTTCGATTGCTATTGTATCTTTGCTTCTATCACAGGCAGGATTTAGTACAAGTCACATTGTGAAGTTTTACGAGTGAGTGGCTCAAAACAGCTTTTAATCCACTGGGTTTGTTTATAACATAAACAAAACCAGGGACATTAGCAACTGGTATCACTTTCACTGCCTATTCAGAATGTTACTTGGGTGCATCAACAATATTCACTTCTCTCTTTGTCTATGCCTATCATATTCATCTGAAAAATGCAAAACTGATTAATCGACTTATTTAAGAAATATACAACGTTATTCAGTGAACATGGCGTTATGAATAGCAATTGCTTTGTTGACATATGCCATGATGCGCGTTAACGCAGCATGGAAAATAAGCCAGCAGAGCTAAATTGCTATTCATAATGCCATGTTCACTGAATAATCGTTGTTTATTACTCATATTTGCATTCTTTCATGTTGTCAAGAATGTTAGAGGAAATTCTGGTTTGCATAAGGACAGGGATCCTTGTCTCTAGTAAAGAAAAACACATCGCTATAAAATCAGTAAACCTGGCTCCAAGACCACAAACTGAGAATAGAAAATTTAGATTTTGCATATTTCTAACAATTACTTAACGAACACGCCTAAAAACTTTAAAGTTTGTTAAATATTTGAATACAAACATAACTTAAATTTTGTTTCATTTTGAAATTTATTTTAAAAGTTACACTGATTTGAAATTTCGAATTTAAGTGTTTTCTCAGTTTATGGTCTTGGGGCCTGATTAATGTACCTTTTCTCTACTAAATCACAAACAAATTTTTAAATATTTGCCTCTCAACCACAGTTATCTGGATACAAGCTGCGCCGTCATCTTTAATTTTTGTTTTGATGCAGTTGTGACGTCATCATTCAAAGTTATTCAAACCCTCCGAGAAAAATCAATAATTTAACACTATGCTAAAAACTTACTTACTTAGGCCTGTCGTTCCGTGAGGAACATAGACCATCAACGACAGTCCTCCAACGAACACGATTTTGGGCTGCTCTGGCTGCATCGTGCCAGGTCATATTCTGTGTCCTTAGCTCCGACTCCGAGTCACGCCTCCAGGTGTTTCTAGGTCGTCCTCGTTTTCTTTTGCCCTGTGGGTTCCAAGTCAGGGCCTGGCGTGTGATGCTGGATGGTGACTTCCTTAATATGTGTGTCCAATCCAGCGCCACTTCCTCTGTCTTATTTGTACCTCCATTGGTTCCTGTCCTGCTCTCATCCATAGTTCTTCATTTGAGATCCTATCAGGCCATCGGATGTTGTAGATGCGCCTGAGACAGGTGTTGTAAAATGTCTGGATCTTCTGCAGGGTAGCTTTAGTCATCCTCCACGTCTCTGCACCATACAGTAGGACGGACTTCACATTGGAGTTGAGGATGATATCGCAGTTTGGTGGTAGTACGTATGCTCTTTGAGGCCCAGATGTTCTTTAAAATGGTGAATGCAGTCCTAGCCTTGCCAATTCTTGACTTGATGTCGCAGTCTGTGCCACCGTGTCTGTCCACCACACTCCCCAGGTAGATGAAGGATTCAACTTCTTTGATGGCCTCACCACCAACTGTGACTGGTGTTTGGACAGTGGTGTTTATCTTCATCAATTCTGTCTTCCTCAAGTTAATTTTGAGGCCCGTTCCTGCCGATGTTGTTGTAAGGTGGGTTGTTTTATCCTGCATCTGATTTTGGTTGTGTGAAAGGAGAGCCAGGTCATCTGCAAAATCAAGGTCGTCCAGTTGCGTCAGGAGTGTCCACTTTATGCCATTGTTCCTGCCTGCTGTGGTTGTCCTCATGATCCAATCAATGACCAAGAGAAAAAGAAATGGTGACAGCAAGCAACCTTGTCGGACTCCTGTCTTGACCTCGAAACTCTCAGACATCTGGCCAGCATGGGTAACTCTGCATATCATGCCTTGGTAGGTGTTTCTAATCAGGGAGACTAGCTTCTCTGGTACTCCATAGTGCCTCAGTATCTTCCACAATGTCTCTCGGTCTACGCTGTCAAATGCTTTTTCGTAGTCGATGAAGTTGACATATAGGGGGGACTTCCACTCCAGTGATTGTTCTATAATGATGCGTAGACTGGCTATCTGGTCAGCACATGATCTGTTGGCTCTAAAACCAGCCTGTTGGTCACGGAGCTTTGGGTCCACTGCCTCTTTCATTCTCTCGAGAAGTATTCTGTTGAGGACCTTGCCAGGCACTGATAGGAGCATGATCCCCCTGTAATTACTGCAATCTGTCAAGTCTCCCTTCTTTGGCAGCTTAATAAGGATGCCTTCTTTCCATTCTTCTGGGATGTTCTCTTCTTCCCAGATCTTGTTGAAAAGGTTGTATAGGATGTTAATGGCTGTCTCTGTATCAGCTTTGATCGCTTCTGCTGGTATCTCATCAGGCCCTGCCGCTTTTCCATTTTTAAGTTTATTAATTGCTCTCCTGATCTCTGTCTTTGTTGGCTTGTCACGGTTTATCGGGAGGTCTGTATTGGCTGGTTGAATGTCCGGAGGTGTTTCTGGTGATGGTCTATTTAATAGTTCTCTGAAGTGTTCTACCCACCTCTTTAATTGTTCTTCTGTTGTTGTAAGAATTTTCCCGTTTTTGTCCTTCACTGGCTTGTCTGTTTGCTGGAACTTGTTGCTAAAAAGACAATCCTTTAATAATGATTATAACTCAAGAATGCTTTTTTAATTATTTTTAAAGTTCTTTAATCAATATTTAAAGGGACCTGGACACAGTTTCAACTGATTTTTAAACCAGTTTTAATGTTTCAATTCCTCTCTCTCTCTCTCTCTCTCATATCTCTCTCTCTCTCTCTCTCATAATGTAAACAAAGCTGGTGCCTTGTTTTTGTTTACATATAAAAATATCATATTTATAACAAAATGAAGTTCAGCAAATCAATTGTAACTGTATTTCACTTTTATTTAAAATTATCTACTTTGAATGAACATATATTAGTATATTAACCTGTGAAAACAAAAACATGAGATAACAAAGGTTTGGAGCTCTAAATCTGTCTTGTATCTGGACAACTGGCGTTCAAATTTTTGATGATCATTAGGAAGACCTTAGTTAAATGTTTGTAAAAATGGAAAATCGAATTTTTAAATTTTAGCTGAAACTGTGCCCATTTAAGAGTTGAAATCTTTCTTGAAATAGATACATGATTAAAGAACTTTTGCTTTTTTGCATGTAAAACACCCCAGTGTGAAGAGTTATCGTTCTTTGCAAAAATATGTCAAAATATGAAGAGAAAAAATAAAAATATGGCAGTTCTCAGCAATTTTTAAAAAGTTTTATTATACAATAAAATACATTGACCATAATAAATTTTTTTAAAGATATAAATCAGCAATTGTTTTTATTTTGAATTTCTTTTTTTTTCCAGAGAATATTAAAAACTTATATTTATTCCTCTTGCACAACGTTTCATATATATACTTCTGAACACATAATTCTAGTGAAGTACAGCTTGTACTATGAGTGTAGTACAGCTTGTACTCTGGGAGTGTGCAAAAGTAATTGCACTCAAAACAGAAAAACGATCAAGACTTAACAAATAGATCAGACGTAAAAGAAATAGAAAAGAGGGAAGAGAAAAAGACCCTTCTTCTCTACCCGGAAACTCGAGTGAACGTAGTTTCTCGAACTTGGAATCATATCTAGATGAATTCGATACTTAGGCAACTGATTATTTCGACAGTGAAGATGAGTATTTTGAAACATATAGAAACATTGTTGAGAACAATAGTATGTTTCCTTTAGATGGAATGAGTCATTTTTCTGCCACAACGTCTGCGGAAAGCGGGAGATATAGTAAGATAATTTTCTATGTCCATGATTTGAATTACAAAGAATCTAAATTATGTTTGGAAGTTTTCAGAATCTATACTTCCACATGTTTCATCTTTTGTGGACTCTATTGACGCTTGGGAAGACATTTAAAGATTTTTCCTATATAAAGTGTCAAGTTTGGTTAAATTTCATCAATGGTTCTTTAATTAAAAGTGAAAAATGTGAAAGGGTTACAGATTCTAGCTATTATCCTAGGGGATGGTCGTTGTACATTTGGTGATATGAAATATAAGGTTAAGCTCTGGTGAGCTTAAAAGAATACCGGTTTCTATTTTTTTTTTACACTTTTTTTTTCAAAGAAAGCATAATCAAAATAATGTCAAGATTATGATTGTGTAATTAGGTTCTCTGTGGATATTGGGAGAGGGGGAATGGAAACCATGACTATCAATGTTTTATTGGAATGTAAGCATAAATATTTACCATTTTGACCCCAAAAATCATAGCTTACAAAAATCATATCAATAGTAAAGCTTCCCCAGCCTCATTAAAGCGAGGCAAAATTTGAGCCTAACTGGAATAAGATACGTATATGGATTTGAAAATTCTGGTGGAAGGTGGATATAATTATTCATTTTGTAAGGGTACTCAGTAATTGTCTCTGAAACTACACAATAATACTAGAAGTTATGCATTTAAGTCTTCATTAATTATATAACATTTATTTAAATAAGTGATGTTTTCTCACATAGATTTCCTAATTTTCCTTAAACAGTTCAAGGAGTGTCACAATACAAAAACATGCTAGTTTTCATGTCGTCCTTACAGAAATTTGCAAAATCCAATGGATTTACTGTCCATGATGTTATGGCAGATGGGAACTGTCTTTTCAGAGCCATTGGTGATCAACTTTCGGTTAACGGAATCTTCGACAATTCTCCTGTTTCACTGCGGAAAAACACTCTAAAGTGCGCTAGATACGAAGTTTTTAATTTTAAATTAGAATTGAGAATATAGTTTATTTAAAGTCTTGAATAATGACAAGATTTTTAAAAATTGACAAGTTTCTTCGGGAAAATCCATATCAAGAAGATGGGTCACATTCTGAGTCATTTCTTTTCACCGAAAGTTGGGAGCAATACTTGTCAAGAATGGAGCAAAATACTGAATGGTGTGATCATGTCATATTTAAAGCTGCTGTGGACGCCCTTGGTTTACGAGCTGTTGTGTTTAATGTGTACGGCGACGATATCAGGCGCACCGAAGTTCTTTCCAGAAACCCGTCTGATGGCAACTTAACAGTTTATCTCGGTCATTTTGGAGAATTTCACTATCTTAGCTTGAGACCTAACAACTGGGATAAAGAGTGGCAATGCAGTTAAGATCTACAATTTTTAGTAACCTTTTATATATAAATTTCTCAGTAGCATGTAATTTTTGGCAGAATTTAATAAGATGTTCGAATTTTTTAAACTGCATCCTTCCATTTAGAAACGTGTTCTTAACGTAAATAAGCTATTTAAAATGAAACAAACCATATATTTCGCTCTTTTTTTAAAATATTGGTTATATTTACAACAAGAGAGGCAAATATAAATGGCTTTAAACTGCGTGCAGCCATGCAGAATCTGATTTTTAAATATATTTGATATTTCGTTGTAGAACCATTGATGTTCAGACAAGAACTACTCACTAAACAGTTTGAAGGTATGAAAAATCAAACTGATGAGATAAAGGACTCAAAGGATTTCCAAAGAATATGTGGACTCCAAACAGAGATGAAAGGTGATGGAAATCAACCCGACTTTGAACATTTCGGAAACAGAGTATGCCCAGTTTACAGTTTAAATGACCTTGATATAGAGGAAAATAAAGGTAAATTTTAAAGAAAAAAAAAACGAATGCTGTATTTGAAATTTGAAAAAAATCACTTCTCTTATTAATTCAAATGAAAAAAGGGTACTAAATTCCATAAATGCTAGTTAATGTAATTTTTTAAATTGTACAGAATCGCTAAATCGTCTAGTAGAGGATCCATTTTACGTTGATGCAAGAACAGGACTTCCACTGCAACATTTATCGTATCTCATTTACCATTTGATTCCTCCTACGATGAGTTTGTACAATTCTTTTGATCTTCCACCGGTTCAAAAGGATGGGATGCTGTTTCAGTATTTAGGATCATTTGCAACGGGAAGAAATATATTCATAAAGGATATTACACGAGGATATACTATAAGAAACAAGGTAAAGAAAGATGCTACTGTCGTTGCTTTACGGCCACTTACATCTGCGATTTCAATCGACACAAAGGACACTCATCCAGGCTTCCTACGACTATTCTACATTCCCAGAAAAAAAATTGTATCGAAATGAGGACAGTGTTTTCTTAAAAAGATTAGATGTACCTGAAAAGATATCTTTATCAGAAAGGTCAGAAAGATGTTATATGGGGTTCTTCATTGATAAGTTTCCCCAAGCTGGAGAAGAGTGGATAAGCAGACGAAAGAAATTTCAATGGCCACCACATGATGTGGTGGATGCTGTACAAAATGCAGGATATACCATAATTCCAAAACATCACCCAATGAGCTGTAATCCAGATATCGAATGGAAGTTCGATTTCTCAAACTCTGAATCTTGTATTTTCAAAAATGGTCTTACGGGAAAACAATGGCGCGGTTTTATTGTACTCCAAATACTTCTAGAAAACAGTAAATGCCACTTTGGACGTGGGTTAAAATTAAAGCATACTAAGGCAGTATTTTTTCAATTGCTGTGAGCAGATTCCTATTAAAGCATGGGAGACAAACCTGAGGCGATGTATTCTTTATGCTATGGTATTTTTGTTAGATTGTCTAATAAAAAAGACTTTACCTCATTATTTCATGCAGTCACGCTATTTATTTGACAACTACACGGAGATAGATCTTGAAGCCATACATATTCAAATAGAAGCAATACGTTTGTTTCCAGCGCAGGCTTTACAATTTCTTGCTGAAGATTATGGCTAGACATACGGGGCAAACCTATCAAGATTTATTTTACAAGACTGTAGAAGATTTGCATCAAGTGGAGACATACTGTCAACTTTTCATGAAATCTTTGTTCCTGGAACGGTCAAAACAATAAAATTTTTAACAAGACGTGGATATTATCAAGCAGCTTTATATCTTCTTCTATATACCTTTCAGATACACTTGTCCTCTACATATGCCAAACCAAACAATTTAAAATTCAATTTTGCAGAATTTTTCTGTTGTACTCTCAGCGAAATTCTCCAAGAAGCCTCTAGGACCATTTTTGGCCAAAACGTTTGAAAACATATATGGTATGAAAATACTCGATTCAATCCTGAAAACAGATGGTCTCTTTGTTAAAGATATCTTACCTTGGGAGATAGACTACCATATTGCCAGTCTGCATATACCGATGGAAAAACGTCTAATTTTGAATCGATTGGCGATTTCTTTTACAAATTTAGTAAAACGGAGGTGAAGAGATTTAATAGTTACTTAGCAACACTAGGAATTTCAGAGGCAATTCGGTGTTTCGAAAGAGCTATTCAAGAGGGAATTATGATTGATATTGAAATTGACGACAAAGCTTTTAAAAATTAAGGGAAAATTAAAACAGTGCTATTTGCTTACATTCTGCATTGCAAAATTGGACTACAAATACGAATTCCTAGAAATTTATATGCCTGCAGTAGAAGAATTATGCAAAGAATTCCCAGAAATGAGTGAAGCTGTCAGCCACATGTACGGATTCTTGCGTTATCCTGGTAAACAAAGGGAATATGAACAACTTGTTGATAGTTTCTTAGGGATAGGTATGTAAAACTTGCAGCCTTCTTTTGTAAATCTTCAAAATATCTTATCTTTAATTCAGCATACATGTACCGTATAAGTAGAATTTTTAGCGAGAATTTAATTTTAGCATTATTAGCGAGGGTGCTGACATCGCTAAAATTGAATATCGCTAAAAATTAACTGTGTATTATTTGTAATAGCTTGTACTTTAGTAAGTATTTTAAAATCACTAAAATTACTTATCGCTAAAAATAAAATACCAGATTTTGGGTAGAAATCGCTAAATTTGCGTCTCGCTAAAATTTCCACTTACACGGTAACTCTTTTCTTTTAGATGATGTGTACAAAGGGCCATCGAAATTGAAATAAAGTGGATATTGAGCTGTCATCATAGAAAAATGTATGCCAGTATGGCGTGTAAGCAAAAGTTCATGATAAACATGTTTACATATCGGTATGTTAATTAAGTTTAGATATTATGGAATGAAAAGAAACACTTTCTCTTACTAATTCGGACTAAGAGGCTGAATTGTCTGTATTATTTATTTTTTTTCTATCAAACTGTATTTTATGTTGCTTAAATATTCAGTATTTCAAACATCGTTATTTTTACAATGGTATGAATGTTTGTTTCTAAGTAAGCAAATAATTTTGAAAATCTGAATCAGTTTTCAGAAGATTTACATGTACACTGCATCTGGATACTTGATCAATAAACTTATGAAATGAACAGTTTTTGTCTTAATTTTTTAAAAAATATTTTGTAAATAAAGATTTTATTGACGATAAGTTAATATTTAAATACCAGAAAGGCATTTTGCATAAGTTTATAAGTTTATCAACATAAAGATGTCGTTACCAATGTTTCAATCCTACATTGTTGTGTGCTCGGAACAGTGATTAAAGCGTTTGCTCAAAAGCCGTGGAGTAAGGAATTGATCCTTACGTTGCGTGTTCGAATCGCATTTTGATTAAATTAATTGAAGATTATATAGTAGGGGTATACATACATGCTAGATTACGGATTCTTCGGAAGACATCTTTAAAACCGAAACCTCGTGTCATGACGGAGAATTGTAGGCTTTGTTACAACGCAAAATGTAAAAGTGCGAAATGTAATAAATTTGAATTATTACATTTTGCGTTGATATCGACGCAAAATGTTTTAACACAAATTGTAATAACTCCATTTTTTATTATTACATTAAGAAATTTTGCACCGAAATCAACGCAAAATGTAATACCGTGCTTTTGCGTCATTTTATTTTTATGCAAAATGTAATACAACAATACGCAATAAAACAAAATATAATTGTTAGCTCTACTTGTCATAGACCAGAAGAGCTTATGCTATTGTAATGTGTCCGTCGTCTGTCTGTCTGTCCGTCCGCCTGTCCAGCTGTCTGTCTGTTAACGGTTTTTCAAAATGCTACTCCTCCTACAGTTTTGGTCTGATTTCAGTATAACTTGGCACACATAGACTACACTAAGATACATAATTCTGTGTATCCGTTTTTCATTTCGATGAACGGTGTTGCCGTAGTTACTAAAAATAGAAATTTGCTGTGAAATACTTTCAAAATGCTACTCCGAGTACAGTTTTAGTCTGATTATAATGTAATGTGATATGCAAGACTGCAAGTATACTACACTGAGATACATATTTGTATCTTTTTTATTTTGATGAATTATGTTGTCATGGTAACTTAAATTGAAAATGCTTATTAAAAGCTACTTCTGCAGTTACGGTCTTATTGCAAACTTGTTATTACATTTAGCGTTGTAACAATTAAATTACATTTTGAAATAGGGTAAAATTTTATAATATTACGGTTTGTCAAAGAAAAATTATAGGCAAAAAAGAGTACCAGTTTATGTCTTTCATTTAAAATCACTATTAGAAAAGGAAAAGAAAAAGGGGAAAAGAGGGAACTAAAACAGTGCCGTGAAGAAGGATTAACACTTAGCAGATTAAAATGGTTGCTAAAAAACAAAACCAAAAAATCAATTCATTAAAGATTTTACAACCCGTTTTTACCAGGAAATGACATAATCAAATAAAGTCATTACATATTTTTATACTGTATTTTAAAGTTTTGAAGTAAAAAATTAATTTTAAAAAAGCTTCGAGCGGTGAACATTTATTCTGACAAAGATCTTTTAATCTGAATCATTAATGTCAAGAAACTTCTTAAGATTAATAGATCTATAAGTTTCTTCAACAAAAAAATAATTAATTTAGCATTTAATTTTGATTCTATGTATTTTTCTTGACAAATGCTAATAATTTCATTTTATTCAAATACTTTTGCAATCATTTTTGAATGCAAGAAATAGCGTCCATGGCTACAGTGATAATTCATAATTGATTGATTGTATAGTGTTTATCGTCCATCTAGAGATTTTTTTCACTGCTATGTTGACCCTAATAAGCTTATGGGGACTCTTATTTGTTTTAGAAAGATACGATCTGAATTTCATTTCATATTCTTTCTGCTTGTCAGGCATTCTCATGATCAGGATATCAAACATTTCACAAACTTTGGCGTTCATGTGCGGAAATTCCTTACATTGTCTTTCTTTATCATGCATATGTTCGATCAAGGGATAAAAAGCGGATACATATATGCGTAATTCTAATCCCGATTTGAATTTCCTTCCTTGCCATCGTTATGAGAGGGAATGACACATTCATTTTCATACACAATTAAATTTATCTTCCCAATAAAACAAGGACGGAATATCTAATAAATTCAACAAAGATAAACTTGAATATTTATATCTCTGTAAACTGGAGATATCATCAATGCTATGTCCCATTGCAAGTCATTGGACGTATGTACAACCGTTAACTCTAGTGCGATGCTTGAAAGTTTTTATCATTAATAATTTCTCAGAACATAAGAAAACTCTTGTCCAGGAAAATATAATTGCTACATAAAGACTTCCTCATTGATAAGAAATGGAGTTTTGACTGGAGTTTTGACACAACACAAAATGTCGCACTATAACATTCTAGCAGAGTTTGAAAAATCATCAGACAGAACAGAAACTAGAGGATATTTTCGAGGAATCTGGTCCAATGATACACCTGAAGAAGGTGACGAAGAAATTCAAAATGAGTTTATAAATGTTCAAGAAGAAAATTTGCAGAGAAGCAGTATCACTTTCCCAAACGAAGTGCACGAACAAAACGAGCTTGATCCGATGAGGATGACCCTCTCAAATGACATTGTCGGAGACTTTGAAGATAACTTCAAGTCAATAATTCCAAAAAGCTTGGATGCACAATCAGGCCTCATTTGGTCTGGAAATGTACAAAAATCTAGTTTGACTTCCAAAAACGAAATCAGTAATGAATCATTGATAAAGACTCACTCAGATGATTTTGATTTCAAAAACGTTGAAAATAAAGACAAAAAGGAAATGGAAAAAAGAACAGCAAATAATGTTACGAAAAAGGAAGAGGATAAAAAGGCATTTATTCACTCTAAAAATCTAAGTAAACAGGCTTTTTCAGAAACGGAACTCCATCTACATGATTTTGAAACTGATGCTACTGATTATTTTGACAGTGAAGACGAATATTTTGAAACATACAGAAACAACTTTGAGGACAGTCCGATGTTTACTTATCATGGAATGATTCATTCTCCTTTGTCAACATCAGCAGTAAATGGAAGATACAGTAAGATTATCTTCAACATGTAATTGATACTAATTATAAATAGTAATGCACTGACCAATCTTTTGTTGCAACTCGCTTTGTTTTACAAAGTAGTATGCTTCGTCTAGTTATACTTTAAACATTTCGGAAATCTTAATCGTTAACTGCAGTATATCTTACATTGTATTTTTCACTTACCATGACCTTTTTTAAAACACATTGTGCCTCCTTCCTAACCATGTACAGTGGAATTGATTTGAACAAGTCTGAGCACCCTATGGACATACGTCTTTCATGATATTTTTTTTTTTTTAATTTAACCCATAACCGGATTTTAAAATAATATGAAGACATGTGTTATGATAAAATGGTGAGGTTACAAGGAGTGTAGGGAAGGAAAATTTCTTAGAGAAAATATGTTCTGAATGTTTTTAAGGTGAAGGCGTATCACGGTACAATAACATGCCAGTGTTTGTGACATCCTTACAGAGGTTTGCAAAAGCCAATGGATTCACAGTTCATAACGTTATGGCAGATGGAAATTGTCTCTTCAGAGCTATCAATGATCAGCTTTCTGTGAACGGAATCTTTGGCAACTCCCCCGAATCATTACGGAAAAACACTATCAAGTGCGTTATACAATGCTTCTCCTTTTTATCTATACCTGTATTAAACAATCCATAAAAAAATCGTCTATTTATGAGGGTTGTCTCAGAAATTAGATGCATCGATATCAGAGGACATTGTTGTGAAAATATAAATAATTCCAAACATTATGCAAAAAAATAAATTTGGAAGGGAGTTTATGAGATGCGTTTATTTTTTCTTGGACAGCCACTGTGTTATTAAGTGAGAAAAAATTATTCAGTACAGATTACAAACCATTTTCTAAAGGTACGAATTCTCAAATAATATATTTAATAATTTTTTCTTCTTTTTATTGTAAGCAGTTATCTTCGGGAAAATCCTTACCAAGAGGATGGGTCACATACTGAGTCTTTCCTTTTCACTGAAAACTGGGAACAATACTTGTCGAGAATGGAACAAAGTACAGAATGGTGCGATCACGTCATATTTAAGGCTGCCGTTGACGCCTTGGGTCTACGAGTTGTGGTTTTTAATGTTTATGGGGACGATATTAGACGAACAGAGGTTTTATCCAGAAAACAATCCGTTGACATCATAACCATTTATCTCGGTCACTTTGGAGAATTTCACTACCTTAGTTTAAGACCCAATAATTGGGAGTCGGAATGGCAAAACAGTTAAGAAAATAATTTATTCAGATTAGTGTTAGATAAACTCAAGGTTTCAATGCTTCACATTTTTGTGTAAGATCGAAGGCTTATAAGTTATAAATATTAAAAAATAAGTATGTTGTAAGACATTGTCAAGATTTTCAAACGTTTTTTTTTCTTTTGTTTTGAAGATTTTCTTATATCCGCTTGTTTTTTGTATCTAGGATTCGTATTTTGAATCATTTTGAAATCTAAATATTTCATTTAAATTATTTTTGTAGAAGCTCTAATGTTTAGACACCAATTACCCATTAGACAATTTGAGAGTATGAAAATTCAAAGTGATGAGAAAAAAGGCGTAGAAAACTGTCTCAAAATAACATCAAAATCTGACTTCGACACAGAAATACAAACTGACTGGAAAAGCTCAGAAAAGTTTGGATTCATAGTGTGTCCAGTTTATGGTTTGAAAGATCTAGATATGGAAGAAAATCAGGGTAGAATTAATATATATTTTTGAACAAAAAAGTGATTTCAAAGTTTAAAAAAACATCATTGCCATTTTTTTTTCACAAAACATAAAGGGCTAGCATGGTATGTTGTTAAGAATTCAGAAAAAAAAATTCCTTATATTTTTATACTTTTTTTTATTTTTTAGAATCGATGCATCGTCTTATAGAGGATCCATTTTACATTGATACACGAACAGGACTTCCACTTCAACATTTATCGTATCTCATGAATCATTTGATTCCTCCTAGGATGACTCTCGTTAATTCTCATGCACTTCCACCAGTAGAAAAGAATGGGACGATGTTTCAGTATTTAGGATCATTTGCTACAGGGACCTATGCATTCTTACAGGATATTCCTCTAGGCTACACGTCAAGAAATCATATTAAGAAACATGCCACAGTCGTTGCTTTAAGACCGCTTACGTCTGCAATTCTAATCGACACAAAAGACATTCATCCAGGTTTCCTACGGTTAAAAGTTTTATCAATGTCGCATCTATTCCCAGAAAAAAGTTTACATAGATGTGAGAATGATGTTTTCCTAAAAAGATTAGATGTCCCTGATAATATGTCTTTACCCAAGATGTCAGAAAGATGTTATATTGGATTTTGTAGTGGTGAGTTTCCACTAGCTGCAGATGAGTGGCGAAATAGACAAAGAAAATGGCCACCACACGAAGTAGTGACTGCTGTCTATAATGCCGGATGTACCTTAATTCCAAAACATCACCCAAAGAGTTGTAATCCAGAAATCGAGTGGAAATTTAACTTCACAAACTCTGAAGTGTTACTGTTTTCAAAAGCTGTTACAGGCAAGCAACGTCGCGGATTTTTTCTTCTGCACATGCTTTTCGATAACAATACATGTCACTTTCGACGCAAATTAAAAATGAAACACACTAAGGCAGTTTTTTTTAACTGCTGTGAACAGATTCCTGTTGAAAAATGGGAAACAAACTTAAGTGGGTGCATTCTTTATGCTACAGCATTTCTATTAGCTTGTCTTAGAGAAAGGAATCTGCCACATTATTTCATCCCATCGTTCAATTTATTTGAGAACTACAAGGAGGAAGATCTTGAAATCATGTGTATTCAAATTGAGGCTATCCGGTTGTTTCCGGTTCAAACTTTACAATTTCTCACAGAAAGTTATGGATACTCATACGGAGCAAACCTGTCAAGATTGGTTTTACAGGACTGTAAAAGATTTGCATCAAGTAGAGACATATTGTCAACTTATCATGATGTTTTCATTCCTGGGACAATTAAAACAGTCAAATTTTTAACAAGACAAGGTTATTATAAAGCAGCTTATTTTCTTCTCCTTAATACTTATGTGTCACGTCTTTGCTTTACCTTAACAGACACTAGCGATTTTAATTGTAATTTCACAGAATTTTTCTGTCGTGCTCTCCATGAAATTCGCCAGGAAGCCTCTCGGACCATTTTGGCAAAAAAGTTTGAAAACGAACATGGTGTAAAAATACTGGATTCCGTAATGAAAGCAGGTGGTCTTTTCGTAGAGGATATTGTACCATGGGGGGTAAATTACGAGATTGCTAAGCTTCATATACCAATGGAAAAAATGTCAAATTTCGAATCAATTGGAGATTTTTTTTACGAATATAGTAAAACTGAAGTAAAGAGATTTAACAGTGATCTAGCTACGATAGGAATTTCGGAAGCAATTCGCTGTTTCGAAAGAGCTATTCAAGAGGGGCCAATGATTGATGTTGAAATAGATGACGAAGCTTTGATAAAAGAAATCCAGTCTCAAAGGTCTGAAATTATGAAAAAACTAAAAGAAAAATTGATGAATTGCTACATCCATACTATGAAAATTTCCCAAATGCACCGGACTTACCTGCCACTGGAAATATATATGCCTGCAATAGAAGAATTATGCCAAGAAATGCCAGATATAAGTGGAGTTGTCAGTATTATGTACCAATATTTGAATAATCCTAGTAAACAGAAGGAATATCAAACGCGTTTTGATAGTATCTTAGGGACAGGTAGGTAAAATTTTGAGCTTCGATTGCTCATCTTTGAAACATATTGTATCATGTATGTATTTTAATTCCATCTTCTCTATTCCTTTGTAGGTGAAGTGTACAAAGGACCATCAACATTGAAAACTAATAGATTTTAAACTGTAAAAAAGATAGATGTATACCTTTATGACGTGTTACCAGAAGTTCATGACTATAAACACACTGTAGTATAAGTAATGGAAGTAATTATACAATAGGAAAAGACATTTGTTTTCAATTACCATAGTATCCTCAAACCCTTCATTTCAAAGATTCATATAAAAGTTACTGAATACAATAGTAATTTGTTCAATTTAATGTAGTTGTGTTCTCATTAAATTTAATTATGATGATTTTTAAAAAATGTAAATTTAAAAAATAACCAAGATACAATAAAACAGTTGTTTTCTATTTATAAAATAGTTTTTCGAAGAGTTGTGCTTTCGATTGCAATGATATAGGGCGATAACGAACCGTATTCAAGCTCAAAGTCCCCTAATTAAAGATTTTCATTTAAACAATGCACATCGGGAACACACGATGCATGGACCTTAAATGGAGTGAGCATCCCCTGCAGACCGGTAACACCTGCTGTGTGCTCTCTGTCAAGATCAGGGAAGAAAGGAAAATTTAATAGACAATAATGGCCAACAATTAGTGTGAAAAAAGTAAATCAGCACTTGACTCAATGATAGGTTGAATTTACTCACAAGATCGTAAAATTTGCGAAATTATGACTTCAAACGACTGAAACAAGGCAGCTGATACCATTCTTCATTAACTTGTTTGCTGATGTTGGACGTTTGCGAGGAGCATGAACTTTTACAGTTGACGGCTTACTTTGACATTTAAACCTGCGTTATGTATGTAGGCACGGAATTGATATTAGAGAAGAAAATGTTATATGAGTGGTTATAGTTTTAAAGTATAAGGGGTACTAACATCATTTCTAAAGAGAGAGAGAGAGAGAGAGAGAGAGATTATTGGAGGTAGTATAAAATTTAAAAATATTTTATTCATTAGAGTACTGTATCTCCTTTTATTTTCATTTTCTAAAGGAATTATATAAAGTAGGAGAAAACATTTCGTAGGGAAAAGAAGTTGGCAAGAGTTTGTCAAGTTGGAAAGGGAGGGGGTCGATAGTATTGTTACCACTCTTTTCCTAGTTATCGAATATGGGCTTTGAAATGGTCCATTATTATTGGTTTAGTAAATGCTAAATATTTATATCGCAAAAGAGATTCTGTAAATTTTCCAGGTGTAAAAGTAAGCCGTCGATTGTTAAAGTCAGCGCTTCTCGCAAAAGTTTAATAGCTTGCCCACTTTAAGAAATTGTTCATAAGTAGAGCATGTTTTTGCGTATTAAACCAGCTGAGAGACAAAAAAACATATCCAGGCGATAAAGGTATATTGCTAAGTGATTAAGGAAAATTCACAGGTACTTGTAGACAGGATTCCCCCTAAATATTCAACAATATTCAACTTCGGGGTTTGTTGGGCATTTTTTCACAAATTAAATTTATTACACTTATTCATCATTTATAAGTACAATAGAAAAAAATCGTTAAAACGTCAAAATAAGCGCTCCACAAAAATACCCCACTGTACATATTATTAGAGAAAGGTATGTCACTCCTGTTTGTTTGTGCCTAAAGTCAACAAAGAAATTTGGCGCCAAATGCACAAACAAGCTTTTACAAAAAAGCGTGACTTAAGATTGATGAATGTTCAGAGTTTGATCACTAAGTCAACTTGTGCAATAGTTAGTGTAGCAAACAAGTTGTTAAATTTGGATGGCCAGAAGCATGATGCAGAAATAAGAAATTGTCATGATGCAATTTATTTATTAGGCCATGCGAATACCACTATGTCTATGCAGCGGAGAGATTTATTAAGACCAGTACTTAAAAGTGATTATGCTGCATTATGTGACAGCAATGTCCCGGTTACGTCTTTGCTTTTCGGAGATGACCTTCCTAAGTCTCTGAAGGAGGCTCGTCAAGTAGGCAATGTTGGAAGGGATTTTTCAAAAAACGGGAAAAGATTTGGGTTCAGTCAGAGGAACAAGAGCGATTTTTCTTGGAAAAAGAAGAATCAAAGTCAGCAGAAGAGATTCAAGAAAGATCAGTAACAGAGACCCTGACTGAGGTAAAACTTCAATCTACTACATCTGAAGAATATGCAAGTTTTATAGAAAAAACTATTTTGAATGCTAAAAGAGACATATTACAATTTGAAGGTGGCAGAATCATGCATTTTATAGATCAATGGACTGAGTTCACTTCAGATCCAGAAATATTGAGCATTGTGAAGGGTATTGAACTTGAATTTATTAGTAAACCAGTTCAAAACATTAATGCAATGCATCAATGCAAATTTAATATGACAGAGAAAAAAGCAATTGATGACGAAATACAAAAATTACTTGATAAAAAAGTAATTGTGGAAAGTGAAGAGGAAAAAGACCAGTTTGTGTCTCCTATATTTTTAAGACCTAAAAAAGATGGTAAATACAGGTTGATATGCAACTTGAAACATTTGAATAAATTTATTCAGTATCGCCATTTTAAAATGGATTCACTGGTGTCAGTTTTAAGGATGATAACACCAAATTGTTATATGGCTTCCATTGATCTAAAAGATGCATATTACTGCATACCGGTTGCAGATGTTTATCAGAAATATCTTAAATTCTATTGGAATTCAAAGCTTTACATGTATAGAGCATGTCCTATGGGCTTATGCATGAGCCCTCGGTTATTTACAAAGGTACTGAAACCAGTTTTTTCAAGGCTTAGACAAAATGGCCATCAATCTGTAATTTACATTGATGACATTTATTTGCAAGGTGACAATGCTCAAGCATGTCAGGAAAATGCAATTGCTACAGCAAACATGCTGGTTAATTGTGGATTTGTCATTAACCCTGAAAAATCTGTTTTTCAGCCAAGCCAAGAAATAGAATATCTAGGTTTCCTACTAAACTCAGTAGAAATGACAATTGCAATTACAGAAAGAAAGGCATTGAAAGTGGTTACAATTTGTGATGAATATCTTAAATCAAAAAGAAATTCAATTAGAGATCTTAGCACTGTTATTGGAAACTTGGTGGCAAGTTTTCCAGCTGTACCACATGGACAGTTGTTTTATCGTCAATTAGAGAATGAGAAAATTTTGGCTTTAAAAATGTCAAGGGGTCAATTTGATGCTGAAGTTCATTTATCAAATCTAGCAATTAATGACTTAGAGTGGTGGAAACTAAACATTGTGGGTTCTAAGGCCTCAATTACCCGAGGTCAATCGGAGTTGATAATTGAAACTGATGCAAGTTTGCAAGGCTGGGGTTGCGATTGTCAATCACTGAGCATATCAACAGGTGGCCCATGGAAAGAATCCGAAAAGAATTATCATATAAATGTTTTAGAACTTCAAGCTGTTTATTTTGCATTGCAATCAATATGTAATGATAAGAAAGATATGCACATAAAGCTTTTAATTGACAATACAACTGCTGTAGCATATATTAGAGAACAAGGAGGTAGTCGTTCTTTAGAGTGCAATAAAATGGTCCGAAAAATTTGGACTTGGGCATATGAGAAAAATATTTGGCTTACAGCTGCTCATATTCCGGGGAAAATAAACTGCAAGGCAGATTTTGAGAGTAGACATTTTAAACAGGAATATGAATGGATGCTTAATAAACAAGTTTATCAATCAGCTTGTGATAAATTGAATTTTAATCCAGATATTGATTTGTTTGCTACACGCAATAACTGTCAATTAGAAAAATTTGTGTCGTGGAAACCAGAGCCTGAATCTTTTGCAATTGATGCTTTTTCTATTTCTTGGGCTGACATGAAATTATACTGTTTTCCACCTTTTAGTTTGATACCTTCGGTTTTACAGAAAATAGTGTTAGATGAAGCCACAGGTATTTTAATAATGCCAGATTGGCCAACACAACCATATTATGCAACTGCAATGAAAATGCTCATAGAAAATCCAATCTTTGTTCACAGGAGGAAAACTTTGTTGGGCATACCGGGGACAACGCAGATACACAAAATATGGGAAAAGTTGAACTTACTAATATGTCTGTTATCAGGAGATCAATCCAGAGTAAAGACTTATCGGAGCAAACTAAAGACATTTTGTTGTCTTCATGGAGAGAAAAAACAACTAAACAATACGAGTGTTACCTACGTAAGTGGGAGACATTCTGTAGTGGACGGGAAGTTAATCCCTTTTCAACACCTGTGAAGGAAGTTTTAGAATTCTTAACTTTTTTATACGAGAGTGGCATTGGCTATTCTGGGATAAACACAGCAAGAAGTGCTTTATCGTCAGTAGTTACTCTTGTTGATGCCGTGCATCATCCAGTGGGACAGCATCCCTTAATTAAAAGATTTCTCAAGGGTGTTTTTAATAAGAGACCTACTTTTCCAAGATATTCAGAAATCTGGGATGTTTCAGTAGTGTTCAACTGGATGAAAACAATTAATTTTGATGATATGTGTTTGAAGTTGTTAACGCTGAAGACAGTAATGCTTTTAGCTTTATTATCTGGACAAAGGGTACAAACCCTTAAAGCGTTATCAGTGGAAAATTTAAAATTTACGGATTCTTATGTAGAATTTAGAGTTGATTCTTTACTCAAACAAAGCAGGCCTGGGTTTCACTTGAATAAACTCGTATTACCGGCTTATGAGGACAGAAATTTGTGTATAGTCCAACATTTGAGAAAATACATTGACATGACAAAAGAAATAAGGAACACTGATTCATTATTAATTAGCTATCAAAAGCCCCATGCGTCAGTATCATGTGACACTATTGCTCGCTGGATAAAATCGGTGCTTAGCAAAAGTGGTGTGGATGTTAATGTTTACACTGCGCATAGTACACGTGCTGCGTCGACATCTTGCGCAGCTTCAATGGGATGTCCAATAGACACCATACTGGCACAAGTGGGCTGGGCTAAGGAAAAAACTTTCGCCAAATTTTACAACAAAAACTATAATGCGGAGAACATGTCTTTAGGACAAACAATATATAAGTGCATTGATAAATAAATGTCATGTTTTGAAATACAGTGATGTATATATATTTATATAAGTAGATTACATTGTAGCAATAAATTAAATTGCATTCAATGTTTTTATTACATTAATAGCCCCAGAGCTTTAAAATCTCATGTGGTTCTGTAATGAACTGGACAGTGATGAAGTAGAATTGGAAATTAAACGAAACTTACCTGGAAGTTGAAGTTTGATTGTAATTCTACGAAATCACTGGAAAGGAATGGAGGAATCACATGCCCGACCCTGTAAAAGTTGTTATTTTTCCCTACCCTTTGTGTATTTACATCTTCGGCTATTAATTGGATTTAAATACTGAGGCCAGATAGGCTAGCGCTATCTCATGTGATTCCTCCATTCCTTTCCAGTGATTTCGTAGAATTACAATCAAACTTCAACTTCCAGGTAAGTTTCGTTTAATTTCCAATTTAACGAGGTATTTTGTAATTATATGCTTAGAAAAATGAAACAGAATGATTAACTTTGCAAAATTTTACATTCAACTAAAGGTTTTTATCTTAGTCGTAAGTTGTTTTTTTAAACAGGCCCATGTTATTAGATTATCTTCTTCTAGTAAAATATCCAAATGTGAAATAGATGTGTCAAATTTTGTGGTATCTTTTATTGCAAGTTCATTAGAATACCGAGTCGAAAGGCATTGAAAGTGGTTACAATTTGTGATGAATATCTTAAATCAAAAAGAAATTCAATTAGAGATCTTAGCACTGTTATTGGAAACTTGGTGGCAAGTTTTCCAGCTGTACCACATGGACAGTTGTTTTATCGTCAATTAGAGAATGAGAAAATTTTGGCTTTAAAAATGTCAAGGGGTCAATTTGATGCTGAAGTTCATTTATCAAATCTAGCAATTAATGACTTAGAGTGGTGGAAACTAAACATTGTGGGTTCTAAGGCCTCAATTACCCGAGGTCAATCGGAGTTGATAATTGAAACTGATGCAAGTTTGCAAGGCTGGGGTTGCGATTGTCAATCACTGAGCATATCAACAGGTGGCCCATGGAAAGAATCCGAAAAGAATTATCATATAAATGTTTTAGAACTTCAAGCTGTTTATTTTGCATTGCAATCAATATGTAATGATAAGAAAGATATGCACATAAAGCTTTTAATTGACAATACAACTGCTGTAGCATATATATTAGAGAACAAGGAGGTAGTCATTCTTAGAGTGCAATAAAATGGTCAGAAAAATTTGGACTTGGGCATATGAGAAAAATATTTGGCTTACAGCTGCTCATATTCCGGGGAAAATAAACTGCAAGGCAGATTTTGAGAGTAGACATTTTAAACAGGAATATGAATGGATGCTTAATAAACAAGTTTATCAATCAGCTTGTGATAAATTGAATTTTAATCCAGATATTGATTTGTTTGCTACACGCAATAACTGTCAATTAGAAAAATTTGTGTCGTGGAAACCAGAGCCTGAATCTTTTGCAATTGATGCTTTTTCTATTTCTTGGGCTGACATGAAATTATACTGTTTTCCACCTTTTAGTTTGATACCTTCGGTTTTACAGAAAATAGTGTTAGATGAAGCCACAGGTATTTTAATAATGCCAGATTGGCCAACACAACCATATTATGCAACTGCAATGAAAATGCTCATAGAAAATCCAATCTTTGTTCACAGGAGGAAAACTTTGTTGGGCATACCGGGGACAACGCAGATACACAAAATATGGGAAAAGTTGAACTTACTAATATGTCTGTTATCAGGAGATCAATCCAGAGTAAAGACTTATCGGAGCAAACTAAAGACATTTTGTTGTCTTCATGGAGAGAAAAAACAACTAAACAATACGAGTGTTACCTACGTAAGTGGGAGACATTCTGTAGTGGACGGGAAGTTAATCCCTTTTCAACACCTGTGAAGGAAGTTTTAGAATTCTTAACTTTTTTATACGAGAGTGGCATTGGCTATTCTGGGATAAACACAGCAAGAAGTGCTTTATCGTCAGTAGTTACTCTTGTTGATGCCGTGCATCATCCAGTGGGACAGCATCCCTTAATTAAAAGATTTCTCAAGGGTGTTTTTAATAAGAGACCTACTTTTCCAAGATATTCAGAAATCTGGGATGTTTCAGTAGTGTTCAACTGGATGAAAACAATTAATTTTGATGATATGTGTTTGAAGTTGTTAACGCTGAAGACAGTAATGCTTTTAGCTTTATTATCTGGACAAAGGGTACAAACCCTTAAAGCGTTATCAGTGGAAAATTTAAAATTTACGGATTGTTTTGTAGAATTTAGAGTTGATTCTTTACTTAAACAAAGCAGGCCTGGGTTTCATTTGAATAAACTCGTATTACCGGCTTATGAGGACAGAAATTTGTGTATAGTCCAACATTTGAGAAAATACATTGACATGACAAAAGAAATAAGGAACACTGATTCATTATTAATTAGCTATCAAAAGCCCCATGCGTCAGTATCATGTGACACTATTGCTCGCTGGATAAAATCGGTGCTTAGCAAAAGTGGTGTGGATGTTAATGTTTACACTGCGCATAGTACACGTGCTGCGTCGACATCTTGCGCAGCTTCAATGGGATGTCCAATAGACACCATACTGGCACAAGTGGGCTGGGCTAAGGAAAAAACTTTCGCCAAATTTTACAACAAAAACTATAATGCGGAGAACATGTCTTTAGGACAAACAATATATAAGTGCATTGATAAATAAATGTCATGTTTTGAAATACAGTGATGTATATATATTTATATAAGTAGATTACATTGTAGCAATAAATTAAATTGCATTCAATGTTTTTATTACATTAATAGCCCCAGAGCTTTAAAATCTCATGTGGTTCTGTAATGAACTGGACAGTGATGAAGTAGAATTGGAAATTAAACGAAACTTACCTGGAAGTTGAAGTTTGATTGTAATTCTACGAAATCACTGGAAAGGAATGGAGGAATCACATGCCCGACCCTGTAAAAGTTGTTATTTTTCCCTACCCTTTGTGTATTTACATCTTCGGCTATTAATTGGATTTAAATACTGAGGCCAGATAGGCTAGCGCTATCTCATGTGATTCCTCCATTCCTTTCCAGTGATTTCGTAGAATTACAATCAAACTTCAACTTCCAGGTAAGTTTCGTTTAATTTCCAATTTAACGAGGTATTTTGTAATTATATGCTTAGAAAAATGAAACAGAATGATTAACTTTGCAAAATTTTACATTCAACTAAAGGTTTTTATCTTAGTCGTAAGTTGTTTTTTTAAACAGGCCCATGTTATTAGATTATCTTCTTCTAGTAAAATATCCAAATGTGAAATAGATGTGTCAAATTTTGTGGTATCTTTTATTGCAAGTTCATTAGAATACCGAGTCGACACATAAATGGAAAAACTATTGTTAATTGATAATACTTCGATCTATCTAAAAATCGACTTGAAGGCCAAAGCAAGTTTTTTTTCTTAGAAGTTTTTAAATGAATTCTGTCTGATATGAAAACAAAAATAGGTCTGTTTATAGTGGGGCGCAATTAGTACCCATAAGAATTCCAACATACTGTTAAAAGACATGGGCAGACTTTACAAAAGAATGACAAGACCAAATATAATTTTGTTTATGACTTTTTAAATCTTTTTAAAAGCGATATAGAATAGAGATTTCAACAGTAGTTTTTGCAATTAAACAGAAAAATTAATTTTGTGAAATATTACCATCAACATAAGTTTTTGATCTTAGTCGCAAGTTGTTTTTGTAAAACGGGGCCCTGGTCTCCAAAGCTTCTGGAATTTGAATGGCAAAAACTTTGTTTCACAAAATATTGTAATAATTTTATCGACATTGAAATAAATTCTATTTATTCACTGCAATATTTATGAACCAGAATTTAGTTTTTAAACCCATTCAATTTTCAATTTGCTTTCTCCAGGATTAGCACATACATGTACATACATGCACCATTCCGTGATGCAAGATGAATTTTCCAGTCGGTGAGCAGAGTTTCGAGACGAGATAAATTAGTAAAGACAACAATGACATTAATTGTTGTGTACATAAATTATATTTGAAGACAACGGTGATAAGAATTCTCAGTACATTTCCTAGGAAGATACAAATTAGTGCAATTCTGGGGAGGGGGACTCAGTGTAATTCGGGGTTAGATACCTTATATCATAATCATACTGACTATACTATATATATATATATACTCTAAGGGTTAAAAATATTACAGAAACGAGTGTCTGTATCAAACATATTAAACATGTGTTAAAAGTAACATTAAAGAATAAATCAATCATCAATGGTTCACTAACATTTATTAAAAAACTAAAATGAGGATGTTCATTTGAATCTACTTTAAAATAGACTTCTTTTCAAACACTTGGTGCTATACACATTACATTACATGTATCTATCGCAATTGTGTACATGGCTTTGAAAATTTATTCAAAATATTTGGATTCATAATCTAAAAATGATTAACTGATTAAAAAAGATCTGCTAAAAGGCACACAGAACTACACAGAACTATTTGTTTGAAACACAATTCATTATATGAATATAAGCTTAGGACCTCCTGTTTCTGAAAGGTATGATCTGAGTTTCAACTCATATTCCCTCTGTTTGTCGGGCATTTTTAAGAAGCGAAACATATCGCTGACTACACCAAGCATACTCGGGAATTCCTCGCACTGTCTTTCTATATCATCCATGTAATTGATCAAAGGATATATGTACATTTCAAAAGATGATGCATGATACAAATGTATGTAGCACAGGTTTAGATTTTGCTTCAATTCACGGGTTTGTGATAAGACATCTTCTTTCAAAATCTGATCTTCAATGGTGCTCATATCTAAAGAATTTTGTTCGATGACATGTTTTAAACAACGTATGGCTGTTTCTATCGTAGAAAAACTAAGCGTTGCGTTCCTTTTTTCTAATTCTGCTAGACTATATCTGTACAGAAACTTTGCTATCGAAGTTAAATCTGATGATCGGGATTCTGGTACAGTCAACCAACCGATTGTATCATCTACCTCCCAGGGCAAAAGGTTTTTCAGTTGGAAAGCATTATCTCGTGTATAATTTGCTGACAGATTTAGTCCGTAGTCTCTGTCAAAATCTTTTGCAAGAATGATTCGAGATGACCGTTGGTCAATTTTGTCAATTACATCCTGTATGAAATCTTGAAAGTTCGGGGTATTTCTTTCTGAATCTGGAAGCAGTAGCAGCTGTTCATACATATTTTCCAGTAGCTGAGATACTGCGTCATAGAATCCCATTCTTGAGAGAACCTTTGCTGTGCGAATTGTTGTTGGAATTAGTGTTTTTTCGACCGTAGCCCTTAAATCTTTTGTTTGCATAAAAGACGGAACGTCTGACAGAATCAGATCTATCAAGTTTTTTCCAAACATAAATCCATGCATATCGGCAACAAACTGGATGATATTTACTGGAAATAGACGAATGGATTCAACGCACAAAGAAAGAGCATTGATGTCAGCTTCCGAAAAACTATCAAAAAGGTTATTGCTTGGTATAAAGTAGTGCGACAAAAAACCTGTTTTTAAGCAAGTCAACAATTTGCTGATGACATGCAGTATACAATCGCTGAAGCAGGTGTCCCAAGCACTAGAGGGCTTTTCCTCAGCTGCGTTCAAAAACACTGCTTTTAAGTGCTTTCGTTTCAGAGTCTTGTCAAGGTGGGATGTCATGTTTTCGAGCAACACTTTTATCACAAAATATCCATATTGTTGTGTTTTTGTTAGATTTGTAATTATTGTGAACTCTGCCAAAGAAAAATCGAATTTCCATTCAATGGTTGGATTTTCGCTTCTTGGGTGGGCTTTTGGAATTAACGTAACCTTTCTTCCTCTTACGCGGTCAATGAGAACAGCCGAGGGGAAATCATAGTTTCTTTTCTTCTCCCTCCATAGAGATGTCAGTGGAGGGAATGGGCATTGAAAACCAATATACTGGACTTCATATTCATGAAAATGCGGAACAGTCTTAATCCTCTCGGGAACCTCGTATGCTTTTAGATAAACATTTGAACCAATCTGCAAAACATTGTCATCTCTGCAATATATCTGAAGTTTAATTCTACAATAACCAGGGTGAGAACCTGATGTATCAACATATAAACGTGATGTCGAATTTTCTTTTTCAGGAGAAACTGCAAAAAGCACACTTTTGTCCTTTCTAATAATAACAATCCTTGGTTTCTTGAATTGCCGTTTTTTATAAAATTTACTCATTTTCTGTGAACGAGTTATGTCTTTCAACGTAAAATAGCATGGGTCACATAAGGGTCCTATAAAGTGGTAGTACAGAATTTCTCGATGTTCCCCTAAATAAAATAGACGACCCTGTGGTATCAAGTGAATTTTTTTTAGTGTTTGAGACAGGAGAATTTTCATTATGAAGGATAAATGTATTATTGGTATTCCTGTCAGCGAATCTATCTGTATTCCATCTTCTGTAAGGTGTTGAAACGATCCTAAATAGAGAAATCCAATTTTAGTAATCGAGACAAATAAATTTTATTACATGCAGAATGTTTTAAGAAACTCTAAAATGAGGTTAAACTTTAAGGCTTTCTTTAAGTATGGCAAAAAAGATTAAAATATAAGGCAGAAATCATTTCCAATCATTGTTAAGGTCACGTCTCACAATAACTTTGATGTAAGCCTAGAAATTTATGGAAATCAAAGATTAAGGTGTAAAATTATATTTAAGAGAGTAGAGCTTGTGTCAAAGATAAGGTCACAAATTAATGAACCTGATAAATCTCATTCGTAGGACTGCAGATGCCAAGTATCATACAGACTGATCGATAAATATTGACATAATAAAATATATTGCAAAAAAGTCGGATGTTAAGTTTAAAAATTCTGGTAATTTTCTTTAATGAATGTGCAACGTATCTAACACTTGCTTACATTAATCTTCATGTTGGCTGTATAAGATGGACAAATTGAGAGTGAACTGATAAAATTATCTTTGAAATTTAATGTACTTCGCCAATTACAGAATATTTTATACGTCTCCCAAAATAAAACTTAGTTACCTTCAGTTTCTTCAGACTGAAGACCCATTTGGATGTATGGTCTGAAGACACGTGTCCATTCCCTATAATTATTACAATTCTCTTCCATACCTCGGTCTTCACCCTCGTTCTCAGTAATGTTGTGCAAAGCAAACTTGGCAATTTCTTGTAATGTTGTCTCTGGTATGAATCTTTCGTCAATCATTCTTTTCACCTGTTGTGCTATAAAATGTCTTTTTGTATCAGAGTCAATATCCTTTGAACAACCTAGGATCCTTAGTATTAGAACCTCTGAAAATTATAAGCGTTAAATGTTTAGTGTATATCATTCGATCGTAAGAAGCAATAAACTGAATACTCTAATAAACAGTTTTACTTACTGTAGGGCCAGTGTCTTAACCATAGTTTTGGACGCAAACTTAAATAATGGAACTCGCCAAGATGACCAAGAAATATTGTCAAGCGATTTTGATGATTCTTGCACATTTTGCCTTTGACTTCAGTCCGACATATGTCATCACGATAGACGTTGAAGACGATGACTTCGAGGGAGAACAAATCAGCGACAGCCTGTAAAATGATATGATCGCTCCATTCACCAGACCTCGACATTCTTGTCAGATATTCCTCCCATGATTCCTCTGTTAAAAAGGAAGACAGGTGACCTTTGTCTTGATGGAAGGGATTCTGTCTTAGATACCTATGGATGTAAATATTTTTTTTTCTGTTGAATATCGAAATTGTGCACGTTCTTAGCAGCACAGCAAAGCATGTGCATGTATAACTGAATCGGTACGTTTCTTTTGTTAAACTACCCGTATATTATATAAATTGAATGTGCTTGGTTAAGCATGCTATCTGACTTTCATTCTGGAATATCAATTTCATTTTTTTTACAATAAACTTACTTTATTGCTGTGTGTCTCAGAGAGTCTATCGAATGCCCAAGACAGCCATTTATAAGCAATTGATCGGCAATAGCCCGAAACATACAGTTTCCATCGGAAATGACATCATATACATCAAAATCGTTGTCAGTTGCAAACTTCTGTATAGACCTTCGAAAGACTGGCATGTTGTGGTATTGTTCTACTCCCTGACCTAAAATAAATTCACAACAGAATAGGGAAAGGATTATATGCAATGATAAGTCATACAAAAGACCTTTTAGCAAGCAAATTCATTATCTGAGTTGGTTGGTGCAGATGTATTGAATATATTTTAATCGCGTGATTTGAGTTAGAATTCTTAAGTTATATCGTACTATATCTTCCCACATCTCTGGTGCCTGAAGATGGAGAACCGTGTCCATTTTCAAATTCATCGAAATGGAAATCGTCTTCCGTTGTAAAGGTATGATTTTCCCAGTATTCGTCCTCGCTGTCGAAGTAATCGATTTTGTCGATGTCTTCTCTTTTTTGTTCATCTGGATTCACATTTGACGCTGTGGAAAGTGTTTCGAAGTTTAATAACTTTTCCTTTAAACAGTTCTCGAAAACCACTTCTTCATTACCATCACACTCAGGCTGGTCTTCATTTCTCCACAACCCGCGAATAGGATGTTTCAGTGTTTCTTTCTCAATACATTGTGTAACATTTTGGGAAGACATTATGATAATTACGCCCTTTCTTTTAACCTATCTTCCACATAGCCTTTGTAGTATATTCTTCTGACATTATTAATACAATCTGTGGCAAACATATCTACTAATAAATCGTAAGTAATGAAAATAACAAATTGTTATGAAATAAGGACGGAAAAGATCATAATATGGCTTTCATCCAGGAAAAATAAAATTTCGTGATATAAATAAATGATTTTTATGATAAATAGTTATCAGTGGAATGGGTATTTGATTACTGAGTATTCATTGAAGAAGGAAAAAAGTAATTATAAAGATGTTAAGCATATGATCATAAAATTATCTAAGGAATCATTGTCACTGAAATTTGCATAATGGACGAACATTTTACATTTAATTTAGCAGATGATTGTAGAATTTTTTTACTTGCGGGTTACATTTTTCTCCCCTTTGTCTTATACAAGGTTTAATGAATTATATTGGGCTGGGTTTTTTTTTTGGCTTTGTTTTATTTGTTTTAGTAAATTAAAAAATCAACAAGAGTTATCTTTCCATTATCGCCCTTGAAAATATTTTTAGTGAAACAAAATATTAATTAATGTTAATAAACAATTGTGAATCTGAAATTTCTGTAACAATTACTAGTAAATGAATTATACATTAAGAGATAGAAATATCTCAATTTAGACAGTTTAAAGGAACTGAGTGTAAATTTTTTAGGTAAACTATTATAAATAATTAATTAAAATATTGGCAATAGAAACTAGAAATCCACATCTGAACGTTAGAATAGTTTTGATTGAGTTGACTATAAAATGGTCCTTGTAAATGAAATCTATGAAATCTGACATGACAATTCATTGAATTTTAGAGGAAATTGTCTTTAGAAAGTTATCTCTCTTAGCAGAGGGATATTGCCCCTTAAGACAAATAAAGGTCCTAATAACTTTAGAACATATTCAATCGGTCATATTAAGCCATGGAATTGTTTTAAATTCAATTTTTTTCAAAAAGTATGTAATACTAAACACATATAATACCTTTTGTAAATATTTTAGTCATATTCATTCATATCATGCTTTATCGATGAAAATAATTTTAAATTCTTTTTTTCTTTCTGAGAAAAATACGTGCTATTTCTGATGTAACAAATGTGTAAATTGAAAAAAAAAACCATTTACGAAAGAGACGAGGAAGAAGGTTCTTTAATATCAAAATAATCATATTTTAAATCAATATTTTTCATCTCTCACTAGATGCAAATACATGTAAAGTGACTGATTAAAAATCAAACAGTTCACAGTAAATATAAATAATGTAGTTTATCGCTTACTTCTAACTGCAGCAACACGTTGGATGATTGAGACCACAGTTACTTTTTTGCAAATATTAAATTAATATTTGGTTTTTATTTACAAATGTGTAGGGTTTTATAATATTAAAAACACCGATATGATCATCAGAAAATTAAGTAGTTGCGGCAATTGCTCGGAATCCATTTTACTTCTTCTTTTTCAATTTTCAGACACTGGTATGAACAAAATCAAATATCTGCTCGTGACCATTTAGTTTGGTCTGTTATTATTGCATGTGGAATTGGTTTTCAGATTTGCTATAGACATGCTCTCATTTTATAAAAAATTTCCCTAAGCTTAGTTAAATATAATCAATACGGAACTTTTTTGGGCATTATATTGAAAGGAAATGTGCCATTATATAATGTTATATCCGAGAGATAGAATGTCGTACTTATGAATTGTTGTCAGAGATGGAAACTTTTGACACAGAACGGATCTACAAAACAAATTTTCTTGGGAAATCTGATTAAATAAGGCATCAGAGGAAGAATGTACAGGAGATGAATCTAAAAAAAAATTGTTCAAGACGAATTTAATCCGTCTGGAAAAAATTCATTCCTTTCAAAAGGAAATTCAGTATGAATCACAAACGACGATTTTTCAAAGAAGATTGATTGCATAGACGATGCCAACATCACAAGAATCACTGCCAGATATTTAAAAAAAAACTGGGGCCAAGCTCGTCATAATCAACTGAAAATTCAATAATTTGAGTGCACCAACAATACACAGACCTTTTTGGCGACATGCTGATCATATTGAACAGAAAATACATGTACAACATCACCAAGGATCAGACAATAAAAAAATTACCATCTTCACATTGTGTACTACTGGGAAGTATACTTCAATCGCTACTTGGCTTCTATCACAGCCAAGATTTAGTACAAGTCAAAATCTGAAGTTTTATGAGTGAGTGACTATTAAAATCAGTTTTTTAATCCATTTTATAGCATAAACAAAACAAGGACCATTAGCTACTGGTACCACTTTACCTATTCGGAATGTGACTTGGGTGCATCAAGAATGTCCACTTCTCTTTTTGGCCATGCCCATCATATTCAACTGAAAATACAAAATTGTTTGATGGATTGCTTGTATGTTGTTGTCGTCCCTCTCGAGAATTTTTCATTCATACTGAGAAACCACACAAAACTGAAAACAGACAAGAAAATAAACCTACTGTCTTAAATCTGTGTACTGCTTTCCAGTACATTTTCATTGCTGTTGTTTATTTGTTTCTATCACAGCACAGCCAAGATTTAGTACAAGTCACATTCTGAAGTTTTATGAGTGAGTGGCTCAAAACAGTTTTTTAATCCACTGGGTTTGTTTATAGCATAAACAAAACCAGGGACATTAGCAACTGGTTCCACTTACACTACCAATTCAGAATGTGGCTTGTGTGCATCAACAATGTCCAATTCTCTTTCTCCTCACGCCTACATGTATCATCTTCAACTGAAAATACAAGATTGATTGACTGATTGAATTATTATGTGTTGTTAAACTTCCCTATCGAGAACTGTTCACTCATTTGGAGACCCAATAAAGAATTAAAAACAAACAAGAAATAAACTTACACTAACATTACCCATTCAGAATGTAGCTTGAAAGCATCAACAATGTCCACTTCTCTCTTTGGCTATGCCCATCATATTCAACTGAAAACTATATAATTGATTGATTGATTGTATGTTGTTTTGTCCCTCTTGAGAAATTTTCACTCATATGGAGACACCACACAAAATTGATGACAGACAAGAAAATAAACTTATTGTCGTAACCGAGGCCGAGTGTAATTATTTCTGCCCTAGGGATTTTGATACTTTTTTAATAAATAAGGATCACTTCATTATAAATAGGGATCTGACCTATAGGAACGGGCTTGGTTTTTTTCTCTACAAAAAGCTTGTCGATTTCCGTTCCGATTAATGACATTAGGCCGAATACATTTAACAATTTGTTTTTTCCTAAATCTTTATTTCAGTGAGTAGAGGTAGAAAAAACCTTTTCATTGATTTTCTGAGTTTGTTATCTCCAAATGTAATAAATGATATTTGTCTTTACTTCTCATTGTGCATAATGGTAATGTCTACTGTCTCTGAAATTCTATTCTTTATGTCTACGGATTTTTTCCGTAGATAAAATAAAACTTGCCATTAATGTGTGCAAATTATATAGGCCTAAATGAAATCCAAGGGAGTACAGTTACTGATAAATGTAGCCAAAACCAATGTGATTAAATTCTAAGGAATATATACAACTGAAATTCGACGCAGCTCAATGCTGTCAAGAATATCTATCAAATAACACAGAGTGAGTTACTCTTGTCCTCGGAGAAAGTGTGCTTATACTGAAGTATGTTCCGCCTGACTGACAACTGTACATTTGATTATTACGATTTGCCATCTCTTTAGTTTTTCTTGTATCAAGAATGGGCATACATAAACGATAGATAATTGAAGGAAAATACACAAGTCTATTAAAAAAAAAATCAAATTGTCTTTGAAAAGGCGAAATTTAAAACTTTAAAAGTGTGGTGCCAGGTGGATTCGAACCCGCGACTTTAAAAAGAAGCATTTCACGGAGTAAAACCAACTCCTATATCAACTGAGCTAGTCCGTCTATAAAAATGACAGGTCAAAATTTGAAGCAGATTTTCAAAATCAGGTTTCCTTATTTTTGTAGGTTTTTTGGGAATTTCGACCCTAAGGCAGGGGTGCCCCTAAAAAAATCCTATCTTAAATCATTCCTTACATCATAACCTATCAAAATATCACAATTTTATTTAGGGGCAGGCCTGCCCTGAAGGACCTCTAGGCCAAAATTCATGCAAAAATCAACGCTTTATCGGACAAAATGGTGTTTCAGTCAACTTTGAAGGTTTATTGTAAAGTTGTGAATAATAAATTTTAGGTATAAAATACAAATTTGGAAAATTTAGACATATGTACGGTAGAAAACAACAAATAAAGCTTAATTATTCAATGCCACTTTTTCCGGGAAATTGTTCTCTCCTATAGGTCAATTGTTTTGTTGAAGCGAATACATCCTTTTTACTGTTATATTTATTGTTTTATATGGCAAGCCCTTTTGCTATTTATTCGGAAAATAAAATTTAACTTAAAATTACAGAGATATCTCTCATTTTGAGAGATATCTCTTTAAAAATAGAGATATCTCTCATTTTGAAGAGATATCTCTATGAGAAAGAGATATCTCTTAAACTTAGAGAGATATCTCTAATACTTAGAGAGAAATCTCTTTTTATTAGAGAGATATCTCTTCCACTTGAAAAGATATCTTTTTCTCCTTGAGAGATATCTCTTTCGTGAAAAGAGATATCTATAAACGTTAAAGAGATATCTCTTTCACCTAGAGAGATATCTTTTTTACTTTTGGAGATATCTCTCAAGGATAAAGAGACATCTCTTAAAGTAAAAGAGATATCTCTCTTAGTTTATCTTAAGAGATATCTCTTAAAGTGAAAGAGATATCTTTCAAAAGTGTCTAAAAGAGATATCTCTTTCACTTTAAGAGATATCTCTTTGTCGCAAAGAGATATCTCTATACAAATTTTTTATTTAAGTTCCATTTCAAATGACTTCTCCCTTTACCGGAAGTAAACTTTTTATTGACGGAAGTATAGTTTATTATTCATAAGCTGAGAAAATTCGGTCCATTGCATATGCTTACTTTCGTTTTTGTGAATATTAAACTTTACGCATTTTTATCAACGAAGTTGCCATTATTATTTGTTGTTTCAAGTAAGGGATTTATAGCATTTTTGTCTACACAGTACATGTATTATTCAGGGTAATTCCTTGCTCAGTCTTTTTTTCTTGTAACAGAGAAACTATTCCAGAGACTTTACTTCATGTTTCGCTTTCGTTTTAAAGTGGAGAATTAATTATTCTATTTTAAGCATCACTGGAAAAGAGATATCTCTTTTATTAAAAGAGATATCTCTTAAGCTCATAAAGATATCTCTTTTTAAAAATCTAAAGAGATATCTCTCTAACTAAGAAAGATATCTCTTTTAACCTTGTTAAAGAGATATCTCTCTAACTTGAAGAGATATCTCTCTCGCTTAAAGAGATATCTCTCTAGCTTATAAAGATATCTCTCTAAGTAAAAGAGATATCTCTCTTACAAAAAGAGATATCTCTCTAAGCTATAAAGATATCTCTTTTAGATAAAGAGATATCTCTATAAACTAAAGAGATATCTCTTTATGTTAGAGAGATATCTCTATTATTGAAAGAAAATTTTTATTTCACGAATAAATAGTAAAAGGGCTTGCCATAGTTTTAAGATTTAAAAATCGAATGTTTACCACACCGATTTCTTCGGGGGCCATCTTAAAAGTTGTCAAATTTTACTATCGGACCCTATGGGAATTTGTTGAAAAAGCGCCAAATTATAACAATTTTTCCATATTTTTTGTATTTCTGCCCTAGAGATTTTTTTTTCATTCAAATAGATGAAAGTTATTGTAAAAAGTCACCAAATTCTGAAAGTTTAAAAAAGTTCACCATTTAGGTTGATTTAAGAATAAATTTCTAAGTTCAGAAGTTTATTTTTTCAAAGCTAAATATCTCTAAAATTGCCATATTACAGTATGAATAAATATCAGTGCAGATGAATTATCGGCGCATATGATTTTTTTCGGTAAAAAAATAGCGATGTGTAGATTTCTAGTATGTTTCTTTTGATGTTCTGTCATCAGTTTTTAGTATATTATTCATGGACGTCTTACAAGCGAGTCACACGTCATTCTTCAACGTCATGCATTGCATACAAAATCCGAAAATGGTGACGTCGTTAGAGCCATTTTAGCGGTTTTCCTCATTATATTTTCGTAAAATCACATTTTCAGACCAGTAGGGGTTAAAGATAATGTTAATTTTGTATTAAAATCAAAATATTTAGCAAGGGTTATTGTCGCACAAATGGCTGCAAGAAATTAAAAAGCTGCGCAGTCATGCGCACTCGAATTAGACTCGGCCTCGTTAAAACTGCGTACTGCTGGCATGTACATTTTGATTGCTGTTGTTTCTTGGTTCCTATCCCAGTCAAGAATTTTTACAAGTCACATTCTGATGTTTTTTTTTAATGATTGGGTTTGTTTAAAGCATAAACAAAACCAGAGGCATTAGCAAGAGGTACTGCTTACACTACCTATTCAGAATATGAATTGGGTGCATCTACAATGTTCACTTCTCTCTTTGGCTATGCCCATCATAATCAACTGAAAAATATAAAATTGATTGATTGTTTTCTTGTATATTGTTGTCGTCCCTCTTGAGAATTCTTCACTCATTTGTACACCTAATAAAGAATTGAACACAGACAAGAATATAAACTTACTGTTTTAAATCTGTGTGCTGCTGACAATTACACTTCCATCAGTGTTGTATCTTGGCTTCTATCACAGACAAGATTTAGTACAAGTCATATTCTGAAGTGTTATGAGTGAGTGGCTCAAAACAGTATTTTTTTTAATCCAGTGTTTATGCATAAAAAAAACCAGGGACATTAGTGACTGGTATCACTTTCACTACCTATTCAGAATGTAGCTTGATTGCATCAACAATGTCCACTTCTACTTTTGGCCATGCCCATCATACTCTACTGAAAAATACAAAAGTTTTTGATTGCTTGTATGTTGTTTAACGTCCCTCTCAAGAAATTTTCGCTCATATTGAGACACCATACAAATCTGGAAATTTACAAGGAAAACCTACTGTCTTAAATCTGTGTACTGCTGGCAAATAGTTTCTATCACAGCCAAGATTTAGTACAAGTCATATTCTGAAGTTTTATGTGTTAGTGGCTCAAAACAGTTTTTTTAATCCAATGGGTTTGTTTACAGCATAAACAAAACTAGGGACATTAGCAACTGGTACCACTTACACTGCCTATTCAGAATTTGAACTGAATGTATGAACAATGTCCACTTATCTCTTTGGTCATGCCCATCATATTAAACTGTAAATACAAAATTAAAAACAGACAAGGAAAAAAAATTACTCTCTTAAATCTGTGTATTGCTGGGAAGTAGATGTAGATTTCATTTGCTGTTGTTTCTTGGTACTATCTATCACAGCCAAGATTTAGTACAAGCCACACTCTGAATTTTAATGCGTGAGTGGCTCAAAGCAGTTTATAATCCATTGGGTTTGTTTACAGCATTGAAAAAACCAGGGACATTAGCAACTGGTACCACTTACACTCCCTATTGAGAATGTGACTCAAGTGTATCAACAATGTCCACTTAGCTCTTGACTTATGTCCACCATATTCAATTGAACATACAAATGTAACAGGAAAGGAGAAAATGCATTTTCTCCTTTCCTGTTACAGATTTAATAATAAATAAACCTGTTATCTACATATCCCTAGACCAGGCAGGACTTGGAAAGGGGAAACTAAATTTACTTCAAATACCCTACATCCTAACTGTTTCCTAACATGTGAAAAACGTGAAACTAAATCTAAGCCAAAACCTAGAGAACTTGTTAAACCATAAGGTTTTCTTAGTCCACTAAGTATCTAATCAAATAGTGCTCATAAACCATAAGGTTTTCTTAGCACAGAAAAGAGGAACTAACCATGAGGCTGTGTTCCCCAACCCAAGTGAAGAAAACTGCTCGAACACGGGTTTAAATACCCTGTCAAGGCCCAAAATAAAAACCAATGACTATCAAAGATCCTATAGCTAAATTAACCAATCAGAACGCAGGTATCAAAATTACTACGGAAAGACTGCCAACATGGATGACATTTCCTGTTTAAAAAGCAAAACATGTGGAATGTCAACTCATGTCCTCACTTATAAAAGACAAATAATAAAGGGCTTTTATGTAAGTAACAACTGAAAACAAATGGTAAATAGAATTATCAGATTGAAATACCAGCAAATACTTGTAAATAATGAATTACGAAACGATGGCTATGAAATAAAAATCTAAACCACTACACAAACAAACACAAAATAATACGTATCGTCTTCAATCTGTGTAATGCTTGCACCTAGACTTTAATGTATTGATGTTGTTTCCTGGTATCTATCACAACCAAGACCGCCGAATCATTGCTAAAATATTGCCCACTCGTCGTTAAACAATAATCAGTTACAACAGTTCTGAAGTTTTAAGAGTGAGTGGTTGAATACAGTTTATTTCTATCCATTTGGTTTTAGTATACCATAGACAAAAGCAATGATATTAGTAGGTGGTACCGTTTTCCTTTTGCCGTTTTGATTAACCTTACTAAGGGAAAAACATTTTATGATCTAGATATTTACCATTCCAGCTGTGAATGAGTGATATATTAGTCCATTAATATTACATTGTTTGTTTCTAATGCAACTTCAACTATGAGACAATGTGTGTTATAAACATAAACAAATCCAAAAATTATTCCAGAAAGTATCGTGGTATGATTTTCTCTCAAGGTTCTCTCAAGGTTTCAGAGTTAGTTAAAGTGACTGTTAAAATCTTTGATTTTTGGAGACTCTCATTTGCAATATGACTTAGATTTTTTCCCTAAAATAATTACGGATGCCGGCATGGCCGCATAGTACGTCAACCAAACACGGGTAACGTCAATATCCTAGGTGGAAAGTGTATAGGATCCTTATGATTTTGGAGCGTTGATTTCTTTTTATCAAATTCTTAAATTAAAAGCCCATGCACATAATTCAATACACTGACAGGTATAAAATGAAGGTATATTTGATCTGGAAGTAAATTTGGGGAACGTAACTGCCATGTACACTTTCAATAAAAAATGGACCTAGCAAAAAATCAAATATTTTAAGAATTTTTATTTTCTTTAAGTTTAATACTAGTTTAAACTGCAAATTCTAAAAAATAATGGCTGAAACAGTTGCATCATTGTGTTCACTAGTCATAACAATTAAAAATGACGTCATCGATACAGAGTTCGAAACGTGCTGGTCTCGAGAACTTTGGGGACGATTTTAGGGTACGGACGAATTTAGGGTACACAACGATACTTGTGCTTATTTCATGACAATACATTCGTTTTATTTTGAATGAAAATTATAAAGATAAAAATATGAACATTGACATAAAACGCATTATAACGTCAATATCTCCAAACCTGATTTCTCTTTTATAGGCCCCAATTTCTATTTTTATTTTAATCCTCTCCTTCTTTCCGTGCATCCAAAGCCTTCGCGGCCTACAACTCGTGTGAAGTCATGGTAACAGTATCCGGGTCGTTCGGAGCGGGTATGGTGCAAAAATAATCCGGAATATTAAGAGATATTATATCATTTTTTGAAATTAAAAAGAAAAAACATTAAAAAATAATGATAATCAATTAAATATTAATTCGTGCTTATAGTGTTCATGTCCGTTTTGGGTCACCATATGTTTCCCGAATTTTCGGAAAGATTGGTAATGGTAAAAGTAGACCATATGCGTAAATATTAAATTATATTAATGCAAATAAGTTTTTATTTTATTTCTTCAATATAATTTTATGCAATTGAATTATCCCACATAAACACTTATCTATCAAACAACAAATTCAGATAGCGGTACTGTCCGAATTACTCAATATTAATTAATTTGTTTAACTTGCAACTAACTTTACCCAAACCTAATTCTCCATTGTGACGTTTAGTTGTTTTATTTTTCTTATCCGACTGTCGGATTTCCTAAAGGAAGCAGAGCTAGATCAACTCTCATCAAAATGTTGGGCAGGTCTTTCTTTGCTGACATGGATAACGATCCATTTTTTGAGTAAGCATAATTTTTGTTGTTACAAATTTAAAATGGTGATTGGTTTTAAGAGTTACATGTGGTTTCATTTTGACCACAATTGGTCTTGGTCATAGGTTTATGTCTCATCTTTTAACTGTATCTCCATATATGTTGTAAGATGTATAATTTAAGCACAATGTAATGAACTGAAGATGAACTTGATGTTATCATGGTTATTGCTTAAATACATGAGTAAACAATTGGCAAAATTCCATTATATTTTTATCACTGCAGGGGGCATCGAGAACATATGAGAAATATGGATAGAATGTTTCAGAATCCCTTTGGGAGCATGTTTGGGGGCAATCCCATGCTGCAAGAGCCAAGAAGAGGGGGTCAGCAAATGGCGGTTGCCCCACGTAACAACCAAGCAATGTCTCCTTTTGGCTTTGACTTTGGCTTCAACAACATTTTTAGTAACATGAACAACATGATGGCGAATATGGAAAGAACATTTGTAAGTCAGTCAGGGTAAAATTATGGTTTGTTGTGTAAGATCTTAAAAATATGTTGTTAAACATATCAGCTACGAAGGCAAATAGTTTAGGCTTATAATTGATTTACAAAATTACATTCTCTGAGTATATACTGTATACAGGGTTAATATTTTCGCCCCATGTTATTTTCACCCTTTTGCACTAGCGAACTAGTTTGCCCCGTTTTAAATTCGCCCAGTCATAGTTTTGTTTGAGAAATTATGCTGTGTAATTTGAATTCGCACCGTTTTAATTTAAATTCACCCAATCAGGAAGAGGGCGAAAGGGGCGAAAATAAAACGGGGGTGAAAATTTCCATGTATACAGTAGTCTGATTACTATAGATCATGATGCAATAAGTTTATACTTACACCATTTTCAATTTTTGTTTAAAAATGATGAAATAATGATAAAAAAAAATCTAAATGTCCTTTGTTTTTATTATAGGAGAGTGCCAGAAATAACCCAAATGCACAGGTATTTTCCCAGTCTGCTGTATATTCCTATACAAACACAGGAGGAGAGGGAAGCAGACCCAGAGTGTATGAGGCCACATCCTCAACCCTACAAGCCCCTGGGGGAGTAAGTGCTAAAATGGTTGCTTCTATATGTATTTTGTTAAATTGTAGCATTTTTAGCTCACCTCAACGAAGTTGGGGGAGCTTATGTAATACCCTCGGCGTCGGCGTCGGCGTCGGTGTCGGCGTCGGCGTCCCGGGTTAAGGTTAAGTTTTTTGGAGCAGTTTTCTTTTTAAGTACTTCTATGTCCTATATTGATTAGACATGCATGGAAGATGGTTCTAGTGTGTTTCATTGTACCAGTCAAAGTTTCAGATGCTGCAATTTTAGCAAAGGAATGACCAGGTTAATGTTTTTGAAGCAGGTTAACATTTTTGGTGCAGTTTTTGGTGTAGGTTTCATTTCCAAGTAACTATAAGCCCTATGTTAACCAAACTTGCATGGATGATACATCTAAGGATGCATACTACCGGGCTTGCTTCGGATGCTGAATCTGACCTACTTTTTCCGGTTGAGTGAACAGGTTAAATTTTTTTGGTGCAGGTTTCATTTCCAAGTATCTGTAAGTCCTATGTTGACCAAACTTGCATGGATGATACATCTAAGGATGGATACAACCAGGCTTGCTTCGGATGCTGAATCTGACCTACATTTTCCGGTTGAGTGAACAGGTTAAAGTTTTTGGTGCAGGTTTCATTTCCAAGTATCTGTAAGTCCTATGTTGACCAAACTTGCATGGATGATACATCTAAGGATGGATACTACCAGGCTTGCTTCGGATGCTGAATCTGACCTACATTTTCCGGTTGAGTGAACAGGTTAAAGTTTTTGGTGCAGGTTTCATTTCCAAGTAACTATAAGCCCTATGTTGACCAAACTTGCATGGATGATACATCTAAGGATGGATACTACCGAGCTTGCTTCGGATGCTGAATCTGACCTACATTTTCCAGTTGAGTGAACAGGTTAAAGTGTTTGGAGCAGGTTTCATTTGCAAGTAACTATGAGTTCTTTAATGACCAATCTTGCATGGATGATAAATCTAAGGATGCACACTACCGGGCTTCCTTCGGATGCTGAATCTGACCTACATTTTCCGGTTGAGTGAACAAGTAAAAGTTTTTGGTGCAGGTTTCATTTCCAAGTAACTATGAGTTCTTTAATGACCAATCTTGCATGGATGATACATCTTAGGATGCATACTACCAGGCTTGCTTCGGATGCTGAATCTGACCTACATTTTGTGGATGAGTGAAAATGTTAGTTTTTGATGTATGTTTCATTTCCAATTAACTATGAGCCTTATAATGTGCAAACTTGCATGGACGATACATCTTAGGATGCACACTAATGGACTTGCTTCGGATGCTGAATTCGACATATATATTTTTCAGATAATAGACCAGGTTAAAGTTATGGTTGCAGGTCTATTACCAAAAAACTTTAAGGCTTTTATAACATTGTTTAAACCAAACTTGCACAAATGTTGCATCAAGAGATGAAAACTCAAATTTGCTTTAGATGCTGAATTACATTTTCATGAAGAAGAACTACTTTAAATTTTTTATGTTGGTCTACTTCAAAGTATCAGATCAAAATTGCTTAGATATTTTCATTTTTGGAATGTACATTTTTTGTTGGTTAATTGTGTGACTTTGCCTTATTTAAAGACAACATTCGTTGAGGTGAGCTCTGTAATCTCTGATTACCTATGTTTATACTTTGCCCCGGGTATTTGTAAATGAGATAGTTATTAGTAATACAGTTTTTCTTCATGGACAAAGGGTTTGAAAAAAATTTAAAAGGAAAAGACCACAAAAATCATTTTGGGAGCAAGGAGCTGAGTTTTTTTTTTTTTTTTCTTTTTCTTTACAGTTTTGAAATCTATTATAATTGTCAGTGGGTGTTATCTTACCAATGTAAATAGTGATTTATAAATTTCAGATAAGAGAAACCAGGAAAACTGTAAGGGATTCAGAAAGAGGTGACAAAATGGCCATTGGACACCACATAAGGGATCGAGCTCACATCATTCAGAAAACTCGGCGCAGGGATGGGGACATTGAGGAGGAGCAAGAGCTCATTAACCTGGAAGAAAGTAGGAGTTTAATTTATATACACTTCCATACATTGTCTTTTTTTTAATCGATTGATGTATTGCAGCTATATATTTTATAATTAAGGTTAGAAGGAATAGAGAGAATTGATATTTCTAACATAATGTTACTCCATTACATGAATTCTTTAATAGTATGGTAGTACCATACTATTAATTAAGGGTATACTTAACACAAACAAAAATTTAATGCATGGATTGATTTATATCTTTTGACTGATTTTGATTTGAAATTACACAAGAATAATAAATCCATCAAATATAAAGAAATTGTAAGTTATCTTTGTTCTTTAGATATTAGACTTGATTTGTTTGCTCTCTATGCAATTCAATACAAAATTTTGCACAATTTACCTAATACATGTGTATGACAAATTCTTATCAATTTCTCCCATTATACCCGGTAAACATTATTCATATAACCAGTTTGAATGTAAATCTATGAGGAATATTGCTGATGTCTGAAAAACAGTTTGTGTTATTTATCTTGAATTGATTTTTTTTTTTGAAGAGTTACCCCATATGGAAAGTATGTATACTATGAGTACATTGTTTGAAAATGCCCAACTGTCAATGAATTGTCAAAAATTAGTTGCAAGGGTGAAAGGGAATTGTAGCTCATCATGTGTAACATGGAGTTCAGTATTCAATTCTTTTTAAATAATTTTACCAGGTGAAAAAGAGAGGTTTGATAGAGAGTTTGAAGAGAAGAAAAGGGAATCGATGAGAGGTCTGGAGTATAGACGCAGAGGTGAAAGGTCAGAAAGAAAAGCCCTCCCTGATCCTAATGAGAGGCGGAGCTACAGGGACCGTGAGAGAAGGGAGAGGAATTAAGGTAGGGACCATATATTAAATTTTTACTGTGTAATCACTATACTTCAGAGGAGGTTAATTTTTGTCGTTTTCCAGGTATAGAGATCCAGATATTCATATTCCCACCAAATTGTCAAAGTTTTATACTACAGACAGTACAATGGTCTTCCTTTAACCACGAAATTAAATCCCGACAAATGTTATTTTTCCTTAAAACCTAAAATTTTGACTCTTCGAAATTATGTTTGTGTCCCTTTTTATGGTAACACTAATTCATTTAATAGTATATAAATTATAAAGCCAATAAATTCTGCAATGTTTCCCAGTAGAAAGGAGAGCAGTGAAGCTTGTAAACATTCCATAACTTGTTAAAAAACATTTTTCCTCTTTTTTTTACAGACTCCAAATTAAAAAAAAATGGTTTGAGAGAATTGTGCAAGAGATGGATGCTACAGAATACCTGGTGATAACTATTATTTATGTAATAAATTATAACTGAAAGGAATCTGTGAGAGGATGGATCTCTACAATATTTCAGCTGTTGTTGTACTAAAAGCAAGAACTGACTTATTTTAATTCAAATTGATTGTACTTAGGTAGTGAATGCAACAGACAAAAGAGTTTTCACAAAGAATCTTGCAGATTTTTTTTGTTCAGCATTTTTCTGTGCAAATTGAAATCCGTCCTTTCTATCTCTCTGTTTGCATACATCATCTTGCCAGAGGAGCTTTTTGGATCTGGATTATCTCCCTTTTTAGTTGTGCAGTTTAAATGTGTAGTCCTTTAATATTTAATATGTTACACAATTTTATTATCATTATTTTTTTTTTTGTTAGTGGCCAGAGTTTATCTCTATAAATAAGTATTTATATAATGAATGTATCACACACCTTTAGGTCTAATACCTAGCATATACATTGTCCATTTACTTGTAAGTTTTTCTGTGTGTGTCACAATGATATGTACCAGGTTTTTTCAGTTTTATGTTTTAAAATAACTGTTCATTTTTACTTGATCGTTTTAATAATTAATTTCAACAATGATGCCAAAAAGGTTTCCTTAAAGTTAGTACAAATCTTTTGTCTTTGATTTATGAAATGTATAATGACATAAAAGATGTGTTGGATATTTATTGAATGATGGATCACATTTATAAAACCTAATGAATGTAAAATATATCGTAACCTTTTCATTATTGATTGATATATAAATAATTCTTTTTCTGTAAAATGCTTGCAAATTTTTAAACAAAGAAAAGGGTTTCTAATGTTTTGTACTATAAAGAAGGAATATACATTTGTACAATGAACATGAGAAAAATTCAATCATCTTATGGAAGGGATGTATAATTTACTATTTAACATTCCTGTTTACTAACATTCCTTAGATAATAATGAATTAAATTGTGACTTGGCTTGTACAAGCTCAAACTACTAGTATTTTTTCATTATTGTCATGTTTGCAATCAGTAGCTCATGATTTAATTGTCTCTCAAATGCTTACATTTCTAAACGAGATTCAGTAGCTCAAGAAGAATTGGTAAAAACCTTTGTTCCTTTTTTCCCTAGGGTCTCTTGGTGTATATTTTTGATCAGTACAATTCAATTATCCAGTGATAATATAAAATCCAGTATGCCATACATATTGTTTGTATATTTATTGTGTGTGTGTTTTTTTTTCATTGAATAAATAGAAACATGCATTGAAAATTTTTTTTATCTGTATTTTAACTGAATTGAGGGCTTCCATGATTCTGTCAACGAAGTCACAATATGTGGCAATTGAAGAAACTCGGTTGTTGGTTTTTACCTTGTTTGTCTGAAGAAACTTTAACCTTGCCTGTATCTTTTGATTGGTTAGAGCATGTGCTTTCCTCATGACAAATCCTTCTTTCGGTACTGTATGTTTTGAACAACGTATTTGACCTCTTATTTCATTGTGACAAAACCTTTCCTTGGGTATAAATAACCTTGAAGTTTGACCCACGTTTACAAAAAATTATGGAACTTTGACCTTGGCTGTATGTTTTGAACATGTAGTGCTAGGGCTTTTATATTTCATTGTGACAAAACGTTTCCTTGGGTATAAATATTGTTGACCTAGATCGTAGATTTTAACAAGTTTGACCTACTTTTAAAAACTTTAACCTTTCAATGTCATAACTTTTATTTCTTAGGTTTTATATTTAAAGGTATATTTTTGGTGACATGAGCTAAACATGTATTTGGATTTATTAACCTTGGATTTTGACCAACTTCTGAAAAAGCCCACTTTTTACCCTTGGGGGGCAATTTAACTTTACCCAAGGATGCAGCTTTCCTGGCCCAGTAGTTCTTGAGAAGAAGATTTTTAAAGGTTCTATATATTTCTACGTAAAACTTGGATTCCCTATAGTGGCCCCGCCCTATGTCAACTATAATTTACTATACACTACCCAAGGTGCTTCCACATAAGGTCTTCTTGAGAAGAAGTTTTTTTTCACCGGTCTATATATTTCTTGTGAAAAAGTTTTTTAATATCTACACTGGGTGCCATTAATTATGATAATAACACCTTGACCTTTGAGTTAGACCACTTAAAAAAAAAAAGTTTACAGACGGACGGACAGACAGACTGTGATCAGAAAAAAGCCTTCGGCTCAGGTGAGCTAAAAATACTGGTACTTTGCAAATAGCCATATAATGCAACTTTTGAGCAGTTGATGCTTTGGCTTTCATATTTCACAGGTTTATTGAAACAAGTCCTTTCTTTTGGGTTACAACATATTTGAAGTCAAACTGCAACAGGAAAGTTACAAGAAAGGAGAAAATGTGTGGCTGGACTTGGAATTGAACTTGGGACCTCTGCATCATTAGTGAGCCACTCTACCAACTGAGCTCCCCTAATATCAATTGTCTTTGAAGGCACAACCCAGATTCTTATTTGCCTCTGGCATGACTTACTCTACAGGTGGTCAATGACTGTATATTGTCCTGGAGTTGAACTATGGACCTCAGTATTATTAAAAAGGTGCTCCACCAACTGACCTCCATGGCTCAAACCATTACACTCCTCCTCCTTTAATTTGTCTTCGCCCTCAAATGTATCACTAAAGTTTTTTTAATATGCCCCTGGCATGACTATTATCTGCAAGTCCAAGGTTAGGTTAACAATGCCAATTTATGCAAAAGGAATAGGGGATATGGACCAGGAATTGAACCATGAACCCCTACATTGCTATTCAGACTCTCCATCAACTGAGCTCCACAGGCTAACATTCACAGGCCAAGGCATTTAAAACCTTAGTTATATATATGACCAACTTCATTCAACCCATCCTCGCAATGACAGGGGTCCTGAGTCAACATGTTGCTAATGGACCCCTGGCAAATTTCATTCAATATTTTGTGGGCTGAATAAAGCAACGTCTTCTGAAAAAATTGCAAATCTTATCTTTCAACCAATCACATTAAGCCATTTTATGATATTAAAAAGCTTATAACGTGCATTTGCAGTGTCAATTGAATCCTTATCCAACTATTCATGAAAGCTTTAATTTGATTGGTACTTCTCAATGAGAGAAACAAGCCCACAAATGAAATATGCTTTGGGTCCAACGAAAACATGATGACTCAGGACATCTAGCATTGCAAGGATGCTTTTGACTTGAAAATGTTTATTTACTTGTATGCAAATAAAGAAAAAGAATGAGATCTTGAGCAATTTATTACTGTATACAAATGACTATGGCACAAAGATGCAAAACATTACACATATTTCTCCACTGAACACATTTTCATATTTTCTGTGCTCAGTATCATTAGCGTGCAAATATTTTACCCTTGGACAACAACATGTATACAAAAATAAAAACATGTAAATACAAGAATAAAATAAAAGTAAAACAATAACTGGTACAAATGGATGGAGTAATGCAAGGTTATTAAAATGCAGCAAGAAAAAAATTACCTGAGAAATGAATATTTGTACATGTATTATGTTTTGAATCAGCAGTTTAGTTTATTTTTAAATGAAGTATGTTAGTTATAAATGAAGTGACTAAACCATATAATGTATCATATTTGAAATCCAAATAAAAGAATTGTGCTTTACAAAAATAAAGCTTTAGCTTACAATTATAAAGAAAGCTTCATACATCACAAATCACATTTATTATTGGATTTTTCAAAATGAAACATGTACAAATTAAATTTTTCAGTGATAAATTGATTAAATTCTAGCTAATTAATGCCCTTTTTAGGTCAATCATGGACTAATGGAGAAAGCAGAAGCTAGGACTCTGGTTCCTTGATCCCAAGCACTCTGAGTATCTCACTGGACTCGATATGGTCACTAGGATTTTCTTGTTTGAAGGACAATAAAACTTTTCCTCCTATAAAAAAAAACCGATGCATTAGATTTTTCCTGAGAGCTAGAAGAATGCCCATAGGAAATGAATTCCCTTGGTTCATTAGAAATGAATCATGATGGGACATGCACCAGGACTTGATGTTTCGGAGAATTAAAATCATATTTACAATTTACTTTTGTATTTATTACATCATAACAAGTGATGTTTGTAAAACACTTATGCCCCCCCCCCCCAAATAATTGGAATTTACTAAGCTCAAGATGCATGACTCTGTCCAAAATGGCTTGATTTTACTCAAAACAGAACTTGAGCTAGATATTCTAATGATCAATCTATAAACCAAATTTCCTTTCAGTATGTGTAACCTCTGTAAAGAATTTTAGAGATACTGTGAGCAATGAGCTAGCTAAATGATACCCTCTGCCTCCCATATTAATATAATGGCATTGTGGCAGTGTCCATGTTTTGCTACGGGAAACCCAAAAGTGTTGGATCAAAAAGTAAAATAGGAGGCAATATGTTATAAAGATTCTGTGAATGTCTCATCAAATTCAATTAGTGGTATGAGAGGAATTGCAGATAAGAGATGAGTACCCAGAAACATAGCAGACGGACAGACGAACATTCTAATTTCTATATACCCTCCCATTTTTCAATGAATGAACAGAATGAACAGAAACTGTTGGTGGACCAACAGACAAACAGACAGACAGCAGCAAAGCAATATGCCCTCCCTTCTTTAAAGGGGGCATAATTACACTATGTTTTGAGATTGTTTGTTAACTGTGAAACTACATATACAGGTGTTTCACAATATATGTCACACATCTAAAGACAGATAGATAAATGACAACTAAAGCTACATATACATTTTATATATCATTTTAATCAGCATAAATTCAAAATTATTTTTTGGAGTCAGAAGTACCCAACATTCTCCACTTCAGTTACTATGGCAACAAATCCTAGAAATGTTATTTTCCAAGTGTTTCCCAACATTACATCCTAAATAACTTATGAGACTAATGCTTGGAAATTTCTGACCACTGTTTTGTAAGTTTCACAGGATACTTGAGACTTTTCTTGTTTTATATCTGGCTTTTTAGAATCCTCAAAAGCCATATCTTTTTTTTTTATTTAAAGTTGCATATAAATAAATGTGTCGTTTCAGAACTACCAGCATGTGTTAACTGGTGTCCACTTCTTTCACTCTTCCTTTGAGTCAATCTTGCAAACTTGAACCAGCTCTGAAAGTCAACTGGCTTTAAATCTTGTATGCAGATATATTTGGTTAAATCGTGTATGCAGACAAACAGCTCAAATTTAAGATTTCTTAAAATATATACACTAGATGCAATAACCGACATTGTTACAATCCATTTTCCATCTAACTTTCATGAGGTTTTTTCAATGATTGATTTCACTTTAATATTGTTCTCACCTCTTTTTTTTTTTTTTTTTTTGGGGGGGGGGGGGGGGGGCAGGATTTAGCTGTCTTTCATCTTAACATTGAAATTTAGTTCAAACTCTCTTATTATTCTTAATATATGAAAACTAGACAACAATTTGTGGTCTGAATATTTTTCATCATCACACCCTGTACAATATTCAGGATATCGTTCTTATAATTAAAGTTTACAACAAATTTTTGCTGCAAGTTGTACTCCATTTTGAGAAAAGCTGACATTATGAGGTCACTGATTATATCATCAGTTACTTCATGGTATGTTATAATTTCCCCAGTACTTTGCAATATCATAATTTTAGATCTATTTGCTTTCCTATAGTGTTTTGGTATTTTTGTTATCATGCTCAATATTCAGATTATGCCCATTTAGATGTGTGACATATATTGTGAAACACCCCTGTATGTTCCATTCATTTTTTGGTGAAAATAGTGTGCCATAAATATATATACAATGTAGACAATTAGATGTCAAGTACCCGGTACAGAAGTAAAATGGGAATTCTGCAAACTAAAACCTTTTAGATCTAGTATAAGCTATGATCTTTTTTTTCTCTTTAAAAGTAAAATATGTACCCCGGTAGACACAGATATTGAGTAGTCTAACATAATATACTGACCAGGAGCTACAACAAGGGTTCCACCATTTTGAAAACCGTCTCCTCTGAAGTCACCACTTATATTTTCTTGCTGTGCCTAAATGATAAAACAAGAGGTCCAGGGGCCACATCGCTCACATGAGCAACTGGTTAGGTAAAAGCAAAAATCAGTTCAGTATTGAAAAGTTTAAATTTATTATATAAGTGGGTTCAGGGGAAGGGGGAGGGGGTATTTGAACCGACTTAAATCTACAATTCCTAAGAATGCTTTTGAATTATTATGACACGTAATGGCTTTGCTTTTTATAATTAAAAATGATTTTTTTTTTATAAAGTCTTATGATTCACTTTAATGGCTCCTCTACTTTCCTAATTGGTCATGATTTAAACAAATTTAAATCTACATTACATATGTACATGCATGTCTCCATATCAGTGAAATATTCTGGAGAGGGACATTAAACATTATACAAACACATGTACCTGTTTTGATAATTTTAAAAATTGATGATCAATCATGGCTTTGTGAGGAATTTTCCCCATATATTATTGCATAAAACCTTGGTCACCCTAGTGGCCCCACTCTACCCCAAGGGGTCATGATTTAAACAAACTTGAATCTACACTACCAGAGGATGCTTCCATATGACAAAGACCATTAATCATGGCTTCAATGTTCTTGAGAAAAAGATTTTTCTTATGTATTAGTATGTTAAACTTTGATACCCCACTGTGTCCCCCCTACTGCTGGGGGTCATGATTTGAACAATCTTGAATTTTTACTACCAGAGGATGCTTCTACATGAGTTTCATCTTTCCTGGCCCAGTGGTTCTTGGAAAGAAGATTTTTAAAGATTTCACCTATGCATTCCAATGTTAAACTTTGATACCCCATTGTGGCCCCAGCCTACCCCCAGGGGTCACGCTTTGAACAAACCTGAATCTACATTATGTGAGGATGCTTCCAATCCACATGAGTTTCATCTTTCCTGGCCCACTGGTTCTTGAGAAGAAGATTTCTAAAAGTTACCATAAATTAATTTATCACTAATTCATAATTATCTCCCCTTGGAAGAGGACATGGCCCTTCATTTGAACAAACTTGAATCCCCTTCACCCAGGATACTTTGTGGCAAGTTTAGTTGAAATTTGCTAAGTGGTTCTTGAGAAGATGAAAATGTGAAAAGTTTATGACAATTTCAGACGACGGACAAATTTTGATCAGAAAAGTTCAGGTGAGCTAAAAATGATGTGTTTTCAATGTTTTGTGATAAAAAAAATTTACATAATGTTAAGATCTACTTTAATGATAATACATGTTCAATGTGAACATTAATGCATTGTTTAATACATAATGCTTAATAAATCACTTTTTATGCTAATTAAACTAAATTTTTAGTTTAAATGCACTGAGTTTCAGCATCAAGAATTTTTTAACAAAAAAAATTACTTTACTAAGAGCATCTCTAGATGATTTGGTGAGCATTGAGGGAAAAACACTCAGTAGATTCAACCTATGACAAATTTGATAACATTTATAAGAAAATCTCCACATTTTAATTCAACCTTCAATAATGAACTATCAGAAAAATAAAGTTGTATACAATAAAGATGATTTGATTGCTGTAATTGTTTACCTTTTAAATCCTAACTTTTTATAACACTGTTTCTTTGTGTCAATGTAGAGCTCTGAAAAATTAAAACCAATTTATTTACATTATTACATTACATATACCAGATAAATTTTCCAACCTCAATCCCCCTAGCTGGTTACTCTGGTATATTCTTCGATCTCAATCTCCTTCTACTTTTTTTAAATAAATGCCCCTCGCTACAATGTTTTTCAATTCCTAAGGACCTGCACCCCTGGAAAATGAATACAACATAACATGACAGCAAACAATAATAAAAGCAAACACTCTGATAATTAAATACATTGTTATGCTTTTACCAAACATTAATTTGATTAAAGCTATGATTGCAAGTTGAAAATTGGAAACAGAAAAATGATTTCCTGTAATTTACTATTATATGCTGAGCAAATAATCAGTTAAAAATGGTCATGCTCTGGTGTGAAAACTGCATTATGGTATTGACAAGTGCTGATAATTATAAAGTTAATGTTCAGATTTTCTTTTGACTTGTTTCAACATCATGTAACTTTTACTGGCATCTGCTGATGACAAAAGGATACAGAATATCTCTCCATCCTTTTACAGAGATCAAGTGTTCCACAAACAATAGGGCACCAATAATGAATTAATCTACCTTAAAATCCACTTCATTTTATCTTCATTATACAATGTAAATTGATTTGAGGGATCTGGGAATGACATAATTTCAATAACTGCATGTTTGCTGCCATCCTATATTGTCCTCTAATATGGAAATGGAGATTTTTGATTTTTCTCTGTTTATGAACTATATTCTAGATACGGTGAGGCATATTGAGGGCTAAATCAAGCACGCTTATAGCAAATATAATATTATATAATAACAAATTGACACTATATAAACAACGAATTGATTAATTTCATTCCTTGCATGGCTTTAAAGTATATTTTGATCTGTGGACCAATATAACAAATTAGATTTATAAAGAATAAAAAATCGTCCATCCCTTGCACTTCGTTATAATTAAGTGTGTCTTACTGTCCAGAATAGTAATACTTTTAATTAATTCATTTTCCTTTCAAAAAAGTAACTTCATATGCCTCTAGTCACAGTATTTTTTTTTTACATGCAAACAATTTTATTTGAGAAACAGGTAAAAATAAAAATTCTCTTACACATTCATTCTTATACCTACATATTTCTGAAACAAAATAGTACAGACCTCCTTTGAAGAATCCTCCCTGGATGAACTGCTCGACCCCCACTTCCTCCAGGCCGACCCCGACCAGGCGGACATTGTGGGCGTCCAGCTGTGGCTTGATGAGACTGAGCTGCTTAGCACTCAGTCGACAGAAAGGTCATCCGAACCGCCGCAAAAACGTAATCACACACGGCTGCTTCTGCCAAAAGGATTCCACCGCAATACTCTGAAGAGACAAATTGTTTAAAGAACTGTTAGAATATAATTTAGTAAATCTTCATGCATTTGTTTAAGAGACATTTATGAGGTGCCGTTTTGGTAATTACTGGCAAAAAGTGATATCACCTATTATTATGCTTCCTGTCAGTTTGTCTCTATATAACCCATACCCTACTATTCTCGCATAGTGGTCTAAGGATTTATATATGACAGCCAAACAGTGCACGGCTTTATTTTCAGTAAAACACTGTTTATAACCATGAGATTGACAGTCCGATGCCTTATCGATTACGCCATAGAGACGATCACTGATTGATGTAATTTTATTAAATATATAAACTTAATTTATACAAACACAATTTGAGAAAATAGACAAATATTATTTGAAAACAGTTATATTATTCAAGGAACTTTAGATTAATGTGTACAACAAACTTTCACTAATTACATACAGATCGTTAGATGAACTCATTTTATAGGGTCATTAAAACGCTTTTTTATATGACGCTTGATTAAGGATGTGAAAGAAAATTATCACACAGAATCAGTGTAACAAATAAGGCTTACTAACATAACAGAAAATAAAGATGTGTTGCTTTTGGACAGAAAATTTTTTGAGTACTAGTAACCAAAATAACTAAGCATGCAAACAATTTTAGCATGAATATTTTGAATGAGTTCTTGCAATGGCTTTAGCAGAATTTTAGAAAAAGTCAAATGATTGCCGCATAAATAATTACAACAGTGTAATAATAACAATTTGAAATGTATATGAAAAGTAGGCAGGGTTTGACACATAGTGCAATATATTGCACCGTGATCAAATTGTTTTAAAGAAGAGGCCATGAACATACTAATAATTCGTTGATATCACTTTTTGGCAGCTAATAAATACCAAAACAGTGCCTCATATTGACATTTATCAATGACAGAAAACAGTGCAGTACAGTAAAACCTGCCAGCTGGATTGATGATTTTGATTTTTTGTTATAAAAGTAATTTAAAAAATTTTTACATCCAATAATTGTTTATAATATTTCAAAGCAATGAAGACGAGAATCACTTTGCTGTAGGTGTCAGTTCATTGTAAGGGCATCACTATACATTGTATTGCATTTATCACACACCTTCAGTGTAACAGTTAAGGTCAAGATCTAGTAAATAATGAGACTAATTTTTTTGCTAGATCCATTATGACGTCATAATCAATTTCAACTTTCTTTTTCCCGTACTTTATGGCTTTAGCAGAATTATGTAGAAAATAGGGTACATGTATTTCCATGTCACTCAATTTGAAATCATATGAAAAGTAAACCGGATACCTATAATAAATTTGATATTGTTTTGAAGAAGAGGCCATGAACATACTAATTACCGTTTTCCAGAGATTGTAGGCAATCTGGATACAAGTTATCCCTTTGCCGAATACTAAAAAAACTCCCGTGTTCATGACTGATTTTCTTAATTTTTCATTGAAATTAAGTGACAGTTTAAAATACATATTTTCATCTTGTTAACCTACAAATTATGCCCCGAAACACCTTATTTGACCAAGCTAAAGTTGTAAAGCATCAATGAAGGAATTTATGGAAAAGTTTGATAAATCTGTAGGACCTTTCATTATATAATCTTGACCTTAATTCAAGAGAATGCTACATCACCCACTCCTCTACAATACAAACATTGTAGGCCTTTTTAAAGCATTTTATAACTGTCCCATAAGAGAATTAAAAAACATAAGTTATTGCCATTCATGATACTAGTACCATAGTGTGGGAAAACACATTATTTGCTATTATTATGCTTCCTGTAGTTTTCTCTATATAACCCATCATTAATTTCTTTCATAGTGCTTAATTTATATAGCGTAAACATACTATGCCGAAATAGTGCACGGCTTTAATATAATTCTTCCAACTTGCTATATTCACGACCATGAGATTGACAGTCCGATGCCTTATCGATTACGCCATAGAGAAAATACTAATATATGTAATTTTATTAAATATATAAACTTAATTTATACAATTGACACAAGAAGGAGAAAATTACAAATATTATTTGAAAACAGTTATATTATTCTAAGGAACTTTAGATTAATGTGTACAACAAACTTTCAAACTAATTACATACAGATCGTTAGATGAACTGATTTTATAGGGTCATTAAAACGCTTTTTTATATGACTTGTGAAGGATGTGAAAGAAAATTTTATTGTGACTTGTAAACAAATAAGGCTTGTAACATAACAGAAAATAAAGATGTGTTGCTTTTGGACTGGACCTATAAAGAAAATTTAACCAAAATAAAGCATGCAAACAATTTTAGCATGAATATTTTGAATGAGTTCTTGCAAGTGCGCTGTTTAAGCACCGATATTTTCAAGAAAAAGTCAAATAGATTGCCGCATAAATAATTACAACAGTCAGCATAATAATAAAATAGTGTTGCATTATGCATGTACTATGCCCATAAGCAGAATTAAAAAACATAAGTGCATTGCCATTCATGCACCATGTGTCAAGAGGGTATAGTGTGGAGAAAACACATTATTTGCTAATATAACATCGATTCATAGTTACTTTATATTTGAGTCCCCGGCCTCTATAATCTGATAATCCTGATAATATCAGAATATATCATCTGTGACCTTGATTCGGTTTGTTTGTCAAAGAATTAATTCTTGCTTGACACCACCCCAAAAAAATTGGTTCCTTTTCTTTCTTATATTTTTTGCAATATTACAGCCATCGATTGAAAATTCTGTAAAATATTCGGCGTGACATTGACAGTGCACAACACTTTGAACACAAAACAACTCACCTCTCCGGAAGTTACACACTTGACGAGATTTTTGGCAATTTTCGCCAATTCCATTTCTTCTATCTGTTTATTTCCATATGCTATGTGGAAAACGTGTTCAGAAAACTTCAAAGTTTGTTCTGTCAATTTATACAACACGTAAATGGATATAACGAACCACTCGTAGAGCGCAGTTTTCATCGTCACATTAGGAAACACGTGAAAACATTTTCATAACAAAATAAAGGGGCGGGTCTTCGCGGCGGTGACATCTGAAATCGTTGCTGCAGTGCCGTCGTGAATCCCGCCGTCGTCTCCTACAAGTGAGGTACACTGATATTTTTTCAAGATAAACTCTTGTTGACCGAGACAGTCGTCATTAATAGGTGAAAATTAATGGTAATTAACAGAATTTAAATGCAACTTTAGATAACCGATGAAAAAAAACAACATTTTTTTTAAATATTTCATCCTCAATACCATATTCCTAATTTACCTGATGAGAAATTGAGTGAAAATAGAGGGAGAAATAATTATCTATATTTCTTCTTCTTTTCATCTTTGTAGTTTTATTTAAAATTTTGTTTAAAATTTAAAAAAATGTAAAATACATCCGTTGGAATCTAATTTTTGGTCGCATTTAACACTAAAAAAAACTTTTTATGATAAAAATTTAATGTTTGAAATATTGATTTTTTCTTAACAAATAACACCTCCCGTTGTTGACGTTTTTGGAGGAAATGCAGAGGTGACTTGAATATCAATATAGGACGACGATATCACCATGGACCTGTCGGGGGCTTTACAGCAGTAATGTCTACAAATGGTCAGTTTATGAGGAGTCATAAATATATTTTATATCAAAATAATTCATGTCTCCAGTTTATAATTTACAGGAAACACAATGTTGTTGTGAAAACAAATTGGGGGGTGGGGGTATTTAAAGTTCTCACACTATGTTTCACTATAAATGTTAATCATTTCTACCTAGCATTTTTTTTTTCACTAAACAACGTACTTTATATTCACACATATGATGTGTGAAATGTCAGTCAACCAGTTGTAAGTGCATGGTTTGGTTCATGGGTCCCACAAAATGCATGTTGTTGTCGGGAGAAATGTACTTGAAATATATATATATAATGCTAAATGATTGTTTCTCACACAGGTCTCCATTTTTTGGTTGACCCTGTAGCTGAAGATGTCAAGGTCGTTTGTCATCTCCTCACCTATCTGAAGAATGTCAAGGACATCAATCTCCACAGAAATGATGAGTTTCTGGCAGCCACCCACAGCTTTCTGCAGTGTATGGACCAATACTATGGTGCAACAAGAGCGCACAATGTGTCAAACTGGATGTTATTCCTCCGGCAACTCCTGACAATAACATCAGAGACGGTCTACATTAAATTGTCCTGTCAAGTCTGTGAGGTTGCCTTGGAAACCTCAGTGACAGTGCCATGTAGATTTAAGACCAATCTGAACAGTTTAGTGCTACGATTAAATAATATATGTGGAATTGTTAGTCTTTTACAAAGGGAAGCTTCCGAAATCTGTGATAATCAAAGAAGGGGGTCGGAAAATGGTCACCAGCCTGTGGCTTTATGGGACGAGGATATGATGGCTTTGGTAATGCAGTCCAGACAGGTTCAGGATATGCTACAAGGCTGTGAAGTTCTTATGTCACCTGTGGTCAAGGCTGTTGAAGCCAAAGCTGAAAAGGACAAGCGGTTCTTCAACACATTGTCTTTCTCCATTGGTGCAGTATGTTTAGGTATTGATCAGAGTCAGCTTGAAGCTTAAATAAATTAATCAAATATGTTGTATGTACTAACTGACAATTAGTTTTGAAAAATAGGACTTTTGTATTAATTTTAAAACTTGAGAAATGTATTGTCTCAGAGTGGGGAGTTGTCCTCACCATGTATACCCTCATTCTTTAACTACATCCCCTAGTATTTCATTGGATACCATCACATTTGACCTAATTTCATTGACCTTTGACCTTGAAATTTGATTTACTTTGAAAAAAATTGTACTAATTAAACTTTTATTTTAGCAATAGTAGCTGGTCTAATATATACCTTGGTGTTTGACATACATTACTTTTAAAAAACTTAAGCCTGTCATAACTTCAAATTTATTAAAGATCAGCTAGCTTTAATATTTCACACACACTAGGGCTGTCACGGGTACCCGAAATGACCCGGAACCGCGGAACAATTAATTCGGGTCGGGTACGGTTCCGTTTTTCTGGAATTCGGTTCGGTTCCGATTTGTATAATCGAGTAGATTTTACTATAAAATGGCGTCAAAAACGAGAGTTTTGTTAGTAAATTGTCATTAAAAGGCAGGGTTTCAGATTGGCGTCGGCCATTTGCCAATAAAAGTTTACCTGCCATGTTGGCCTAAAAGTTTGACATTGAACAGACACAATGGCCGATTATCTTCTGTATGTAAAGGCCAGTCGTGTAATTTTTCCTCCATTCAGATCCGATTGTTTTTCTCTACTTTCTGCAACTGCCGATTCAATCAGCCAATGACATTTTGGTATAAATATAGTTCTTGACAAAATACTCTATAATTTTATTTCCAAACCCAACTGCAAGGATAATAAAGTAGTGATGAATGTTTAAAACATCAAAGGAATCCATGCATAATGTTATTTTTACCGCCATGATTGAATATGGGGTCGGACTAATAGCAGGAAACGGACAATGTTGCAAGGTTTTACTAAGGAAAAAAAAAATAGTCTAGGTAATCTTTAAACGTAATTATACATTGAATATCATCAGAGATACAAGTCTAATTTTTGGATTACTATTTTTAAAAATTGTAATCCCATCCCAAGAAATAACAAGAAATAAACACACACTAATATAAGTTAAATACCCATTGAATGGAATTAAAAAAAAAAACAATTACCATTCTGTTTCAATATATTAATTTTGTTTAAAAGAAACAAAATAGTATTTCCACCTTATTAAAAGGAAAATTAATACAGTGGACCCTCATTTATCCGGACGCTTTGGTTCCCAGTCCATTTGTCCGGATATGTGAAGCATCCGGATATCTGAATCACCAAATAAACAAGACAACACAGCATTTAAAAATTTCGTTCCGATGAAAAATCGTCCGGATACTGAAGCATCCAGATATCTGGCGTCCGGATATCTGAAGGTCCACTGTATACAAGTTTGAATATTTTATGTAATAAAATGACTATTTTGTAAAAGTCTGACAGAAATCTGAGTTAGTTTCACTTTTCTATTGGCCTATAATTTTAGGAAGTTTAGGACAGAATGGCGTATAACTTTTCTGGTAAATATGCCAGATGTCCTGTAGTTACTTATTTCAATCTGAAACCCTGAAAGATGATTTAAAAATAATTTGGTACAGTTGTTGTCTAGTCAGGAGGCTACTTTAAACTAGTTATAATGTTGCAATTTCTAAGATTAAATGAGAATATTCTTTTTATTGTTGAAAATAATACAAATCATGAGCTTTTCTTCCACTACCTACCCGACCCGAGAAACCCGAAACCGAACCTCAAAAAATCAGAACCGACCCGACCCGAAAAATTTTGGAACCGTGACAGCCCTAACACACACATATGTATTTATTATTACATTTCATGCCACAAGTCTTTACAATATTTTTTACCATATGACCTTGACATTTGTCCAAGTTTTAACCTTGGCCATATAATTTCTGATCGAAGGTTTTTGCCAGGGCTAGATTCATGCATATTTCACATGTACTTCTTGTGTAAATTAAGATCTTCCCACTATATTGACATCATCATCTTATGGGTGTTAGACCTACTTTTGAAAAACTGTAATCTTGACTATAATCGAAATGGTTGGTGCTAATTAAGGTTTTCACATTTTGCATATTCCTTGTCACAATCTGTAGCATCTGTGTGATTTTTTCATAAATGAATTTTTAAACATTTTTACATACATACATTTTGTATATGAAACTTAAAGACAAAATATTTGGAAAAAATATATATTCCTTTTTAGGTAATTTTGCCTGGAATGTTTGGCAGGGACGGTCCACAGATCAGCTGTTATCTACTGGTATGTGGTCAGTATGTACAGGGTTCTCGGCGGCTGTCCTCCAAATTCCTCGAGTACGTCTCTCTGACATCACAACACAGCTACAGCAACATCGCAAGGCTCGCGAGAAAGTAAAAGAAGTCACTCACTGCTGGATGGAAACAGATAACTTTTCATATGCCAAACTTGTCCGTCCTCCAACGAAACAGGGGAACATTGATCCTGGGTTCCTGATTGGGAAAGCGGTGGCCGTTAAGACAAATTGTAGATGATATGTTGTTGGGTTATAGTTCGATCTCCATACTTTACTTCTAATTTTGAAGTCAATGTTTGGGTATTAAATCTGACTGTATTATATTGAAGGCATTTTTATTCAGATTTAAATTTATTTTTGTAGTGGATTGTTGTAAAAGTTATGAAAAAAAAATGTTTATGCCTTAATTGGACACCAAAGTATAATTTTCTCATTTATACTTTTAATACATTCTTTAGTGGAAAAAATCCAGATATTAAGTATATACAAATACATGTGCATACATTGTATATCTACGCAGCTTGCAAAATCTTTAATCTAGCGTGCAATAAAGGATTTGGTTATGAAATGATTTAAACTTGATAACCTTCAAGTCGTTGCGAGATGTTTCAAGTTTTCTAATAATGGTATTTATTTACATGATTAGTACATGTATTCAGAGAGTCTTAAAATGCAAATTGCAACCTGTAAATCTAATTATATTTCAAAACTTGTGAATTTTTCTAGTACATGTATAATAGTTATATTTATAGTTTATTCATGAGTGCTCTAAAGTATTGCAAAACTTTCCTATATGTACATGTGAGAGAGGTAATTGTAGACCAAACTTTCAACAAGTTGAAGTTTGGGAAAAGATATTTTATTTAAGTATTCTGTTTTACTTTACAATGAAGCAGATTTTTATAAAAAAGCAAATACTCGTGCTACATAATCTATTTATTTTATTATTTAGTACAAAAGCAGTGCATTTATGTTATGTTTACATGCATCCACTGAATGTTAACTTTATACT